AGTGAGACTAAGTGCTTGATGAATGCTCGTTCCCATTATGGAGTCATGTGGTCCTCTGTAGCTCAATTGGTAGAGCATGGCGCTTGTAACGCCAGGGTAGTGGGTTCGATCCCCGGGACCACCCATACGTAAAAATGTGTGCGCACATGACTGTAAGTCGCTTTGGATAAAGCTTCTGCTAAATGGCATATTATTATTAACTCATTAGACTTGCGCTGTACATTGACAACGGCAAAAAAAAAATTTAAGTGCTTAAATTGTAACCTCTAGCAAGAGACATTGAGCTATTTCAGGAAGCTGCATTAGAATGTGCTGGAAACATCTCCTTTCCTAAAAATTATTTGAAATGCCTTTGCTCCATTGCCGTTTTTATGCTGAATTTGAATCAGTGAAAGTACTTGTCAAGTGAGGTGTAGAAGAAAAATACATGAATTGTGCATTGAATACCCCTTTCCAAAGAGTAAATTGAGTGTAAAGTACCTGTGACAGGCTGAACGCACTATTTTCCATAACGTTTACACATTTGAATGGACAACCTGTTTTTCATAATCCAAGCTGCGTCAAGGAACCGGGGTTGACATCCTCACATGACAAAGCCATGCATACCTTAACGCTGAGGTTAACAACATGACCTCATCTCTGATCTGACTTGAAAAGACATCACTATACATATATTCCGCATATCCGCCCAAATTATGTAATCGTCCCTCCCTAACGATGTAATGGTGTTAAGGCAGAGGAGGGAGAGGCTGCAGTGTCGATGGCTAAAAACAACGTAGCTAGGGAACAACAACAGCTTATGTCTTCTGTTTGTTTCTCCAACTGGAGCAGGTTGCTGTGGAGGAACACACGGTGTGATGAACTGGACACTACATGATTTATCAGATATGCGTGAGCCTTAGCCAGAATAAACAAGGATTAAGTGGAATATGATGTGCATAGATAGAATGAGATACGATTTACAGACTTTTGGGGAGGACAGAATGAGGACATACTAGTGTTGCATAATGTATTTGTATACAGTGGGGAGAACAAGTATTTGATACACTGCCGATTTTGCAGGTTTTCCTACTTACAAAGCATGTAGAGGTCTGTCATTTTTATCATAGGTACACTTCAACTGTGAGAGACGGAATCTAAAACAAAAATCCAGAAAATCACATTGTATGATTTTTATGTAATTAATTTGCATTTTATTGCATGACATAAGTATTTGATCACCTACCAACCAGTAAGAATTCTGGCTCTCACAGACCTGTTAGTTTTTCTTTAAGAAGCCCTCCTGTTCTCCACTCATTACCTGTATTAACTGCACCTGTTTGAACTCATTTACATTTACATTTTTTACATTTACATTTTAACTCGTTACCTTTATAAAAGACACCTGTCCACACACTCAATCAAACAGACTCCAACCTCTCCACAATGGCCAAGACCTGCACAAGGCTGGGATGGGCTACAGGACAATAGGCAAGCAGCTTGGTGAGAAGGCAACAACTGTTGGCGCAATTATTAGAAAATGGAAGAAGTTCAAGATGACGGTCAATCACCCTCGGTCTGGGGCTCCATGCAAGATCTCACCTCGTGGGGCATCAATGATCATGAGAAAGGTGAGGGATCAGCCCAGAACTACACGGCAGGACCTGGTCAATGACCTGAAGAGAGCTGGGACCACAGTCTCAAAGAAAACCATTAGTAACACACTACGCCGTCATGGATTAAAATCCTGCAGCGCACGCAAGGTCCCCCTGCTCAAGCCAGTGCATGTCCAGGCCCGTCTGAAGTTTTCCAATGACCATCTGGATGATCCAGAGGAGGAATGGGAGAAGGTCATGTGGTCTGATGAGACAAAAATAGAGCTTTTTGGTCTAAACTCCACTCGCCGTGTTTGGAGGAAGAAGAAGGATGAGTACAACCCCAAGAACACCATCCCAACCGTGAAGCATGGAGGTGAAAACATCATTCTTTGGGGATGCTTTTCTGCAAAGGGGACAGGACGACTGCACCGTGTTGAGGGGAGGATGGATGGGGCCATGTATCGCGAGATCTTGGCCAACAACCTCCTTCCCTCAGTAAGAGCATTGAAGATGGGTCGTGGCTGGGTCTTCCAGCATGACAACGATCCGAAACACACAGCCAGGGCAACTAAGGAGTGTCTCCGTAAGAAGCATCTCAAGGTCCTGGAGTGGCCTAGCCAGTCTCCAGACCTGAACCCAATAGAACATCTTTGGAGGGAGCTGAAACTCTGTATTGCCCAGCGACAGCCCCGAAACCTGAAGGATCTGGAGAAGGTCTGTATGGAGGAGTGGGCCAAAATCCCTGCTGCAGTGTGTGCAAACCTGGTCAAGACCTGCAGGAAACGTATGATCTCTGTAATTGCAAACAAAGGTTTATGTACCAAATATTAAGTTCTGCTTTTCTGATGTATCAAATACTTATGTCATGCAATAAAATGCAAATTAATTACTTAAAAATCATACAATGTGATTTTCTGGATTTTTGTTTTAGATTCCGTCTCTCACAGTTGAAGTGTACCTATGAAAAAAATTACAGACCTCTACATGCTTTGTAAGTAGGAAAACCTGCAAAGTCGGCAGTGTATCAAATACTTGTTCTCCCCACTGTATGTTGTCCTTATATGTGTATAGCTCTGCATTTAAGTTCTAAACTATGTGCATGGTTGAGCGCATTTGTGCTATCATGTACAGTATGTCTGCGTTCGGGTTCAGGTTCACGTGTAAATGATTGCATGCATTTGTTTACATGTAGTGGGTAGGCTGGTCTATGTTCAGTTCATACACTATATATACACAAAAGTATGTGGACACCCCTTCAAATTTGTGCATTTGGCTATTTCAGCCACACCCGTTGCTGACAGATGTATAAAATCAAGCACATAGCCATGCAATATCCATAGACAAACATTGGCAGTAGAATGGCCTTACTGAACAGCTCAGTGACTTTCAACGTGGCACCGTCATAGGATGCCACCTTTCCAATAAGTCAGTTTGTCAAATTTCTGCCCTGCTACATTTTACATTTCAGTCATTTAGCAGACTCTCTTATCCAGAGCGACTTACAGTTAGTGAGTGCATACATTTTCATACTGGCCCCCCGTGGGAAACAAACCCACAACCCTGGCGTTGCAAGCGCCATGCTCTACCAACTGAGCCACAGGGGACTTAGCTGCCACGGTCAACTGTAAGAGCTGTTTTTGTGAAGTGGAAATGTCTAGGAGCAACAACGGCTCAGCCGCGAAGTGGTAGGCCACACAAGCTCACAGAACGGGACCACAGAGTGCTGAAGTGCGTAGCGCAAATGCATAGTGCCAACTGTAAAGTTTGGTGGAGGATAAATAATGATCTGGGGCTGTTTTTCATGGTCCGGGCTAGGCCCCTTAGTTCCAGTGAAGGGAAATCTTAACGCTACAGCATACTATGACATTCTAGACGATTCTGTGCTTCCATCTTTAATTTAAAGACCCTTGCTCCCTTCGGTCTCAATGTAGACTTTGATTTGAAGCCATTCTTGTGATTATTGTGATTTTGCTATTCATTGTAAATGTTTGTGGGCCTATGTAGCCAAGTTTTATCTATGATCGTATGTTATCTATTCATGTTTTTTATAGGTTCTGTTTATCTGTGAATTAACCAATGATATCAGGCAACACCCGGCCATGATTACAGACACCTGTGTGTGTCCTTTGACACTATTTCAACTAGTGACCCGCAGTGTTTGTCATTATACCCTGATGAAGACAGCTTGTCTGTCGAAACGTTGGTTATTAGGTTATTAAATTATTGCATCTGAGCTCCTGTGTGCGACTCTCCTTTTCTTTTTCATGGCCTGCACAGAGCCCTGACCTCAACCCCATCGAACACCTTTGAGATTAATTGGAACACAGACTGCGAGCTAGGCCTAATCGCCCAACATCAGTGCCCGACCTCACTAATGCTCTTGTGGCTGAATGGAAGCAAGTCCCCGCAGCAATGTTCCAACATCTAGTGGAAAGCCTTCCCAGATGAGTGGAGGCTGTTATAGCAGCAAAGGGGGGGGACCAACTCCATATTAATGCCCATGATTTTGGAATGAGATGTTCGACGAGCAGGTGTCCACATACTTCTGGTCATGTAGTGTATGCTGAGCCTGTTTCTATGCAGAAGGTGGAAATCCTACAGAGGGAATGACAGCAAGACATCATGTGACTTTACTAGATTAGGAGATTACATTGTGTACACTCTGCTCTCCACAGCCTTCTTACTGTCTCTATGTGTACAGTAAATGTGATCTCACTGCCTGGAATGTGTGAAGATGAAAAGTGAGCAGGCTTTTAAATGAACTTTGTAGTGATAGGGTCAGAGTTCAGTGCTGCTGTCAACTGAACGAAACATAACCAGTCATAGCACTCAGTGAACTATTAACTAATGTTCGAGTACATAGGCGATCTGAGTGTCTATGGGACTGAATATCTGCTTGTCTGCAAAGGCTCATACTTAGGAGTGTGTGTATCTGTGTGACATTCATACAATGTTTATGTTAGGTTGCACAGGACATTCCCTTAATGTTGTAAGAATAAATAAGTCTGTTTCTTACTGGTACCCCGTGGGAATCGAACCCACAACCCTGGCATTGCAAGTGCCATACTCTACCACACGAGCCACACGGGACCCCTGCCTTAGCTCAAAAGTGTGACAAAGCTGTCATTTCAGTGTGACCTAGCTGTCATTTCAAGCAGCAGTAAATTAAAGGTCTAGTGATATTGCTCATTACTTATATTGCTAGAGATCCTTTCAAATTTGATGTTGCCGGCCAGACAGTAATTGCTGGAATGCCATAATGTTGATTGGTCATTGTGGATAGTTTCATTCTGATCATGGACCAGAACGGCTGAATCACTGAAAGTAAGGTAAGGTTCACCAGCTTTAACTGATTGTGCTATGGCTTTTCTCTCTATAGTGATGACAACTCTGCTGTTAATGGAACTGTATAACGTGATGATAATGGTCATCAATGTAAAGGATGAGGTGTTGTGTGTGATGGGTAGAGGTAAAGAGAAGTCTATGTGAGCAGAGCAGGTTCAGCGTCTCGCAAAGTTAACCAGGCATGCTTATAGGCCACATTCTCCAGGCCAGAGCCATAGTTATTAAGTGCTAGGAAGCCCAGAAAAGCACGTTTCCACCTCTCTGAATGCATATTTTTTACACTGCCGAAATTGCAGGGCACAGGTTCACCAATTCTTTTAAAAGCCCAGCTTTTTAACTATTTATGAGATGAGAACTTTTCCTGGGTCAACACTGTGTTATCTCGGCCCTCATTGTGCAGAATATTCCAGTCACACAATGTGCTGCTGCAGACAGTAACACTTCATGCAACCTAGAGCACATTGTTTCCGCCTGCAGCCAAGTGTGCATGTGTCCATGTGTATCCATGTGTATGGACAGTATATGAGTGGAGGATGGGGGTGAGGTGCAAGTGTTGGCTGCATCTGATCATTTTGTACCCTGACAGAATCTCTAGAATAGATGATAATTGGTGTGTTCCCATTAACTATAGCTACCCTCAGTCACCTCCTCATGGTCGGAATAATGGCACCGGAGGGGATGGCTGCCGATTTACGGGCTCCTAACCAACTGTGCTATTTAGTTTTTTTGCATTGTTTTAACTCATTTTGTATATAATGTTGCTGCTACCGTCTCTTATGACCGAAAAGAGCTTCTGGACATCAGAACAGCGATTACTCACCTCGAACTGAAAGAAGATTCTTTCTTTAATGAGTCCAACGCAAAGACAAGGCCAAAATCCCTGTCATCAGCGTGACGAAAAGACGGAGGAAAAGGGGGAGGAGGCCTTGTAAGAATTTGCCCACGAGTAGGTAAACTACCACTACCCTCCGTATTATTGGCCAACGTGCAATCATTGGAAAACAAACTGGACGATCTATGATTAAGACTATCCTACCAACGTGTCAACGTCTGGGTGAAGTGGTGAAATGGAATCAAGCGCAGGACACAGAACTGAGAAATGAATGGATTTACTAAAACAAAAGTAAACCATACAAACCCTCCACGCAGGGAAGAGCAGAACAACAGCTCACCAGACAACGTAAAACAACGGACAATCACGCACAGACCCAGGAGAGAAAACAAAGATAATTATAGGGAAACAAATAAGCATAATGGGTAACAGGTGTGAATAATAAAGACAAGACTAGTGTAACACAGAAACATCGATCGGTGGCAGCTAGTACTCCGGTGACGACGAACGCCGAAGCCTGCCCGAGCAAGGAGGAGGGGCAGCCTCGGCTGTATTAGTGACAGTACCCCCCCCACCCCCCGACGCGCGGCTCCAGCCGTGCGTCGACACCGGCCTCGGGGACCGCCAGGAGGACGCGGAGCAGGGAGAGTCGGATGACGACGATGGAAATCCCTTAACAAGGAGGGGTCGAGGATGTCCCTCCTGGGAACCCAGCTCCGTTCCTCCGGACCGTACCCCTCGCACTCCACGAGATACTGCAGGCCTCCCACCCGACGCCTCAAATCCAGAATGGAACGGACCGAGTACGCCGGTGCCCCCTCGATGTCCAATGGGGGCAGAGGAACCTCCCGCACCTCAGACTCCTGGAGCGGACCAGCTACCACCGGCCTGAGGAGAGACACATGGAACGAGGGGTTAATACGATAATCAGGGGGGAGTTGTAACCTATAACAAACCTTGTTCAACCTCCTCAGGACTTTAAAGGGCCCAACAAACCGCCGACCCAGCTTCCGGCAGGGCAGGCGAAGGGGCAGGTTTCGGGTCAAGAGCCAGACCCGGTCCCCCGGTGCATACACCGGAGCCTCACTGCGGTGGCGGTCGGCACTCGCCTTCTGTCTCCTGATAGCCCTTTGCAGGCGTACATGGGCAGCGTTCCATGTCTCCTCCGAGCGCCGAAACCATTCATCCACCGCAGGTGCCTCGATCTGGTTCTGATGCCATGGTGCCAGGACCGGCTCGTAACCTAGTACACACTGAAAGGGAGACAGGTCAGTGGAGGAGTGGCGGAGGGAATTTTATGCCATCTCTGCCCAGGGGATGTAAACTGACCAATCCCCCTGGCGCTCCTGGCAATATGACCTCAGAAATCTACCCACATCCTGGTTTACTCTCTCCACCTGCCCATTACTCTCGGGGTGAAAACCTGACGTCAGGCTGACCGAGACCCCCAGATGGTCCATGAACGCTTTCCAGACCCTTGATGTAAACTGGGGACCCCGATCAGACACTATCTTCAGGTACCCTGTAGTGCCGGAAGATGTGTGTAAACAGGGCCTCCGCGGTCTGTAGGGCAGTAGGGAGACCGGGAAAGGAATGAGACGACAGGACTTAAAAAACGGAGGAAGATCCGTAACAAAGTCCACCGATAGGGCAGGTGTCTAGGTGACTTGCACTGGGCGCACACCGAACAGGAAGAAACATAAACCCTCACGTCCTGAGCTAAGGTAGGCCACCAGTCCTTCCCACTAAGACAGCGCACTGTCCGACCGATGTCAGGATAGCCAGAAGAGGGTGACGTGTGAGCCCAATAGATCAAAAGACAGAGTGTATGCCTTAGCATTCTGGGAACCTGGTCTGTACAATAGACACGTGAACACAAAACACGTGAAAAACATGGCCCACCTTGCCTGATGAGGGTTCAGTCTCCTCGCTGCCCGTATGTACTCCAGATTGCGGTGGTCAGTCAAAATGAGAAAAGGGTGTTTTGCCCCCTCAAGCTAATGTCTCCACACCTTAAGATCTTTCACTACAGCTAACAGCTCCCGGTCCCCCACATCATAGTTTTGCTCTGCCGGGCTGAGCTTCTTCGAAAATAAAGCACAGGGGCGGAGTTTGGGAGGCGTACCCAAGCGCTGAGACAGTACAGCTCCTATCACAGCCTCGGACGTGTCCACCTCGACCGTGAATTGCAAGGAAGGATCCGGATGAGCCAGCATGGGAGCCGAGGTGAACAGCGCCTTCAACTGACCAAAAGCCCTGTCCGCCTCAGCTGACCACTGCAGGCGCACCGGTCTGCCCTTCAGCAAAGAGGTTATGGGAGCTGCTACCTGGCCAAAGCCCCGGATAAATCTCCGGTAGTAGTTGGAAAACCCCAAAAATCGCTGCACCTCCTTTACCGTGGTAGGAGTCGGCCAATTACACACGGCTGAAATGTGGTCAGACTCCATCTCGACCCCTGACTCTGACAGGCGGTATCCTAAGAAAGAAACGGTCTGTTTGAAGAACAGACATTTCTCAGCCTTAACGTACAGGTCATGCTCCAACAGTCTACCAAGCACCTTGCGCACCAGGGACACATGTTCGTTGCGTGTAGCGGAGTAGATGAGAATATAATCTATATACACCACTACACCCTGTCCGTGTAGATCCCTAAAAATCTCATCGACAAAGGATTGAAAGACTGAGGGAGCATTCATCAACCCGTACGGCATGACGAGGTACTCATAGTGACCAGAGGTGGTACTAAATGCCGTCTTCCACTCGTCCCCTTCCCGGATACGGACCAGATTGTACGCGCTCCTGAGGTCCAATTTTGTGAAGAAGCACGCCCCGTGCAATGACTCCGTCATACTAGCTATGAGAGGTAGAGGATAGCTGTATTTTACGGTTATCTGATTTAGACCTTGATAGTCAATGCACGGGTGTAAACCTCCATCCTTCTTCTTCACAAAAAAGAAACTTGAGGAGGCAGGGGAAGTGGAGGGCCGAATGTATCCCTGTCCCAGAGATTCGGTGACATATGTCTCCATAGCCACCGTCTCCTCCTGTGACAGAGGATACACGTGACTCCTGGGAAGTGCAGCGCCCTCCCGGAGATCTATCGCACAATCCCCTCGTCGATTCCAAATCGGCATATTCTGAGGGAATGTGCATTGTGGAGACATGGTTTGGACTCTCCACCGTAGTTGCCCCTACGGAAACACCTACACACTTTCCCGAGCACTGAGGTGACCATCCCTTAAGAGCCCTCTGTTGCCACGAAATCCTGGGGTCATGGGTGGCTAGCCAGGGAAGCCCCAGCACCACGGGAAATGCAGGAGAATCGATAAGGAAGAGACTAATTCTCTCCTCATGACCCCCCTGCGTCTCCATCCGGAGTGGAACTGTGACCTCCCTAACCATACCCGACCCTAAAGGGTGACTATCTAGGGCACGTATGGGGAAGGGCACATCTACAGGCAATATAGGAATCCCTAATTTATGCGCAACCAGCCTATCCATAAAATTCCCAGCTGCGCCGGAATCTACGAGCACCTTATGCTGGGAATGTGGGGAAAACCCAGGGAAATGTACATTGACCATCATTTAGAGCGTCTGCTAAATGACTAAAATGTAAATGTAAATGTAAATGTGAGCAACAGGGAGCTCTGGGTGAGTTGGGTGCATACTCACCTGGGATGGTCCACCAGGGCCCTGCCTGCTGCCTCGATTCCATCAGGGTCCTCTCCTGCACCGGCCCGCAGTGTGTCCTCTGCGGCCACAGTTGGTGCAGGAGACCACCCCCTTGCCGGGTCTCTCCACATCAGCACCTCCAAGCTCCATAGGAGTGGAGTCGGAAGTGCTGGGGGATGGACTGGACGGACCCTGATCTGGACGTCCGCGGGTGGCCAACAGGTTATCCAGCCGGATCGATAAATCTACCAGCTGGTCCAGGTTTCGTGTCCCTGCAGGCCAGCTCCCTACGAACGTCCTCCCGTAGACTGCATCGGTAGTGGTCAATCAGGGCTCTCTCTTTCCATCCCGCGCTGGCTGCCAGTGTCCTGAAATCCAGGGCGAAGTCCTGTGCGCTCCTCCTTCCCTGTCTGAGGTGAAACAGACGCTCCCCCGCCGCTCTCCCCTCCGGCGGATGATCAAATACTGCCTGGAAATGGCGGGTAAAATCCAGTGTAACGTACGGATTCAGCGTCTATTCCACCCCACTCCGCGTTGGCCCATTCCAGCGCTCTGCCCGACAGACAGGAGATGAGGGCGGACAAGCTCTCGTATCCCGAGGGAGCCGGGTGGATGGTTGCCAGGTAGAGCTCCACCTGGAGCAGGAAACCCTTACACCCGGCAGCTGTCCCATCATATTCCCTCGGGAGCGAGAGCCGAATTCCACTGGATCCAGGATTTGATGGTCTTGATGGGGGAGAAATCGGAGGAGGAGGAAGTGTAGGAAACCCACCTCTCTCCCATCGATCCATGGTGTTCACCACTCGATCCATAGCCGAACATAGAGTCTACAGCATGGTTGAGTGCTGCTGGATGCGTTCCTCTACCGAGGCGCTGGGATCGAACGTGCCTGCTGACTCCATAGATGGTGCGTGATTCTGTCAACGTCTGGGTGAAGTGGTGAAACGGAAACAGGCACAGGACACAGAACTGAGAAATGAATGGATTTACTAAAACAAAAGTAAACCATAACAAACTGTCACGATTGTTTATGGAAGATACGGACCAAGGCGCAGCGTGATAAGCGTACATTTTATTACGTACTTAACACGACACAAAACAACAAACAAACGATACGTGAAGTCCTAGGTTACACAAAACAAACCTTAACGGAACAAGATCCCACACCGACTAGTGCCAAACAGGCTGCCTAAGTATGGTCCCCAATCAGAGACAACGAGATACAGCTGCCTCTGATTGGGAACCACCCTGGCCAACATAGATCTACATGATCTAGAAAACACAACATAGAAAATATGATCTAGAAACTCCACACCCTGGCTCAACATTTAAGAGTCCCCAGAGCCAGGGCGTGACACAAACCCTCCACGCAGGGAAGAGCAGAACAACAGCTCACCAAACTATGTAAAACAACGGACAATCACGCACAGACCCAGGAGGGAAAACAGAGGTAATTATAGGGAAACAAATAAACATAATGGATAATAGGTGTGAATAATAAAGACAAGACTAGTGTAACACAGAAACATCGATCGGTGGCAGCTAGTACTCCGGTGACGACGAACGCCGAAGCCTGCCCGAGCAAGGAGGAGGGGCAGCCTCGGCTGTATTCGTGACACAACGGGACATTAAAAACGGTAATATCTTATGTTTCACGTGGCTGAACGACGACACATGATAATATAGAGCTGGCTGGCTTCTCCGTGCATCGGCAGGACAGAGCAGCTACATCTGGTAAGACGAGGGGCGGGGGTGTGTGTCTATTTGTCAATAACTGCTGGTGCGCAATGTCTAATATTAAAGAAGTCTCGAGGTATTGCTCGCCTGATGTAGAATATCTCATGATAAGCTGTAGACCACACTATCTACCAAGAGAGTTCTCATCTATATTATTCGTAGCCGTCTATTTACCACCACAAACCGATGTTGGCACCAAGACCGCACTCAACGAGCTGTATAAGGTCATAAGCAAACAAGAAAATGCTCATCCAGAAGCGGCGTCCTAGTGGCCGGGAACTTTAATGCAGGTAAACTAAAATCAGTTTTTTCCTCATTTCTACCAGCATGTCACATGTGCAACCAGAGGGGAAAAAACTCTAGAACACCTTTACTCCACACACAGAGACGCATACATAGCTCTCCCTCGCCATCCATTTGGCAATCTGACCATAATTCTATCCTCCTGATTCCTGCTTACAAGCAAAAACTAAAGCAGGAAGTACCAGTGACTCGCTCAATACGGAAGTGGTTAGATGACGCGGATGCTACGCTACAGGACTGTTTTGCTAGAACAGACTGGAATATGTTCCGGGATTCATCCAATGGCATTGAGGAGTATACCACCTCAGTCACCGGCTTCATCAATAAGTGCATTGACAACGTCGTCCCCACAGTGACCGTACGTACATTTCCCAACCAGAAGCCATGGATTACAGACAACATCCGCACCGAGCTAAAGGCTAGAGCTGCCGCTTTCAAGGAGCGGGACACTAATCCAGACGCTTATAAGAAATCCCGCTATGCCCTCAGACGAACCATTAAACAGGCAAAGCATCAATACAGGACTAAGATTGAATCCTACTACACCGACTCTGACGCTCGTCGGATGTGGCAGGGCTTGAAAACTATTACTGACTACAAAGGGAAAACCAGTCGCAAGCTGTCCAGTGACGCGAGCCTACCAGACGAGCTAAATGCCTTTTATGCTTGCGTCGAGGCAAGCAACACTGAAGCATGCAGGAGCGCACCAGCTGTTCCAGACAACTGTGTGATCACGCTCTCTGTAGCCGATGTGAGCAAGACCTTTAAACAGGTCAGCATTCACAAAGCCGTGGGGCCAGACGGATTACCAGGACGTGTACTCAAAGCATGTGCGGACCAACTGGCAAGTGTCTTCACTGACATTTCAACTTCTCCCTGACCGAGTCTGTAATACCTACATGTTTCAACCAGACCACCATAGTCCCTGTGCCCAAGAAATCGAAGGTAACCTGCCAAATAACTACCGTCCCGTATTACTCACATCGGTAGCCATGAAGTGCTTTGAAAGGCTGTCCTTGGCTCACATCAACACCATCATGCCGGAAACCCTAGACCCACTCCAATTCGCATACCACTCCAACAGATCCACAGATGATGCAATCTCAATCGCACTCCACACTGCCCTTTCCCACCTGGACAAAAGGAATACCTATGTGAGAACGTTCAACACCATAGTTCCCACAAAGCTCATCACTAACTAAGGACCTTGGGACTAAACACCTCCCTCTGCAACTGGATCCCGGACTTCCTGACGGGCCGCCCCCCAGGTGGTAAGGGTAGGCAACAACACATCTGGCACACTGATCCTCAACACTGGGGCCCCTCAGGGGTGGGTGCTTAGTCCCCTCCTGTACTCCCTGTTCACCCATGACTGCGTGGCCAAGCACGACTCCAACACCATCATTACGTTTGCTGATGACACAACAGTGGTAGGCCTGATCACCGACAACGATGAGACAGCCTATAGGGAGGAGGTCAGAGATCTGGCAGTGTGGTGCCAGGACAACAACCTCTCCCTCAATGTGCGCAAGACAAAGGAGCTGATCGTGGACTATAGGAAAAGGAGGGCTGAACAGGCCCCCATTAACATTGACGGGACTGAAGTGGAGCTGGTTGAGAGTTTCAAGTTCCTTGGTTTCCACCAACGATCTGTCATGGTCCAAACACACCAAGACAACACCTTTTCCCCCACAGGAGACTGAAATGATTTGGCATGGGTCCCCAGATCCTCAAAAGTTCTACAGCTGCACCATCGAGAGCATCCTGACTGGTTGCATCACCGCCTTGTATGGCAACTGCTCGGCATCTGACGTAAGGCGCTACAGAGGGTAGTGCGTATGGCCCAGTACATCACTGGTGCCAAGCTTCTTGACATCCAGGATCTATATACTAGGCAGAGGAAGGGCCATAAAATTGTAAAAGACTCCAGTCACCCAAGTCATAGACTGTTCTCTCTGTTACCGCATCACAAGCGGTACCGGAGCGCCAAGTCTAGGACCAAAAGGCTACTTAACAGCTTCTACCCCCAAGCCATAAGAATGCTGAACAATTAATCAAATGGCCACCCGGACTATTTACATAAAAGACACCTGTCCACAGAAGCAATCAATCAATCAGATTCCAAACTCTCCACCATGGCCAAGACCAAAGAGCTCTCCAAGGATGTCAGGGACAAGATTGTAGACCTACACAAGGCTGGAATGGGCTACAAGACCATCGCTAAGCAGCTTGGTGAGAAGGTGACAACAGTTGGTGCGATTATTCGCAAATGGAAGAAACACAAAATAACTGTCAATCTCCCTCGGCCTGGGGCTCCATGCAAGATCTCACCTCGTGGAGTTGCAATGATCATGAGAACGGTGAGGAATCAGCCCAGAACTACACGGGAGGATCTTGTTAATGATCTCAAGGCAGCTGGGACCATAGTCACCAAGAAACAATTGGTAACACACTACGCCGTGAAGGACTGAACTCCTGCAGCGCCCGCAAGGTCCCCCTGCTCAAGAAGGCACATATACAGGCCTGTCTGAAGTTTGCCAATGAACATCTGAATGATTCAGAGGAGAACTGGGCGAAAGTGTTGTGGTCAGATGAGACCAAAATCGAGCTCTTTGGCATCAACTCAACTCGCTGTGTTTGGAGAAGGAGGAATGCTGCCTATGACCCCAAGAACCCCATCCCCACTGTCAAACATGGAGGTGTAAACATTATGCTTTGGGGGTGTTTTTCTGCTAAGGGGACAGGACAACTTCACCGCATCAAAAGGACGATGGATGGGGCCATGTACCGTCAAATTTTGGGTGAGAACCTAGGTATTCCAGCATGACAATGACCCAAAACACACGGCCAAGGCAACAAAGGAGTGGCTCAAGAAGAGCACATTAAGGTCCTGGAGTGGCCTAGCCTTAATCCCATAGAAAATCTGTGGAGGGAGCTGAAGGTTTGAGTTGCCAAACGTCAGGCTCGAAACCTTAATGACTTGGAGAAGATCTGCAAAGAGGAGTGGGACAAAATCCCTCCTGAGATGTGTGCAAACCTTGTGGCCAACTACAAGAAATGTCTGACCTCTGTGATTGCCAACAAGGGTTTTGCCACCAAGTACTAAGTCATGTTTTGCAGAGGGGTCAAATACTTATTTCCCTCATTAAAATGCAAATCAATTTATAACATTTTTGACATGCGTTTTTCTGGATTTGTTTGTTGTTCTTCTGTCTCTCACTGTTCAAATAAACCTACCATTAAAATTATAGACTGATCATAATAATAATAATGATATGCCATTTAGCAGACGCTTTTATCCAAAGCGACTTACAGTCATGCGTGCATACATTTTTCATGTCTTTGTCAGTGGGCAAACGTACAAAATCAGCAGGGGATCAAATACTTTTTTCCCTCACTGTACATACACAGCAGTTAGGACAGCTTTTCCCAAACTAGGGTCGCGAGAGAAACTCTGAAATAAACATAAAAAATTGTGCTTGGTTCATAGATCTGGGTTTACATCAGTAGCCTCCAGTAGCCACTAAATACGGTTGTAATTAACAGAGTGGTTTCAGTTTTCTTCCTACAAATGTGGCTCTATCTTTTGAATGGTTTAAGCTACAAAATATTATGACATCACTGAAAGACTGAAAACTGTTTCCCTGTACCTGCCCACAAGCTGCACAGGACTCATTAGAACAGAGTAGACAAGACCAGGCCCTGATCTTCTGAACTTCCCAATACCTTTCTGATGCATTTCATTTACTTCAAGCCATAATTCCTTCAGATTTAAATACTGTCAAAAGTACCGGCAGACTGATTTGTAATAGACTGTCATAGCCCCAAAATAGTAAAAAAGTATACATTGGCTGTTGATTACATCACTTTTTTTACATGGTGTGGTCACAAAACATTTTTGATATCAAAATGGGTCGCGGGCCAAAAAGGTTTGGGAATACCTGAGTTTGGATCACATAGTAACTGAATACTTTAACAGTTTATGCTCAACACTTAACAACACTGTGTTGAGCATAAACTGTTAAAGTCCTCTGTAGCTCAGCTGGTAGAGCACGGCGCTTCTAACGCCAAGGTAGTGGGTTCGATCCCCGGGACCACCCATACACAAAAAAATTAAATAAAATGTATGCACGCATGACTGTAAGTCGCTTTGGATAAAAGTGTCTGCTAAATGGTATATTATTATTTTATCCAATGACAATAGGACAGGCATTTATACTGAACAAAAATATAAACACAACATGCAACAATTTCAAAGATTTTATTGAGTTACAGTTCATATAAGAAAATAAGTCAATTGAAATAAATAAATTAGGCCCTAATCTATGGATTTCACATGACTGGGAATACAGATATGCATCTGTTGGTCACAAATACCTTTAAAAAAAAGTTGGGGCGGGGATCAGAAAACTAGTCAGTATCGGGTGTGACCACCATTTGCAGGGCAACACATCTCCTTTGCATAGAGTTGATCAGGCTGTTGATTGTGGCCTGTGGAATATTGTCCCACAACTCTTAAATGGCTTTGTGAAGTTGCTGGATATTGATGGGGACTGGAACACGCTGTCGTACACGTCGATCCAGAGCATCCCAAACATGCTCAATGGGTGACATGTCTGGTATGCAGGCCATGAAAGAACTGGGAAATGTTCAGCTTCCAGGAATTGTGTACAGATCCTTGCAACATGGGGCCCACCGCCACAATGGGGCAGTCTGTTCGCCCACACGACGCCATACAAGTGGTCTGCGGTTGTGAGGCCGGTTGGACGTACTGCCAAATTCTCTGAAATGACTTTGGAGGTGGCTTATGGTAGAGAAATGAACATTCAATTCTCTGGCAACAGCTCTGGTGGACATTTCTGCAGTCAGCATGCCAATTGCACGCTCCCTCAAACTTGAGACATCTGTGGCATTGTGTTGTGTGACAAAACTGCACATTTTAGAGTGGCATTTTATTGTCCCCAGCACAAGGTTCACCTGTGTAATGATCATGCTGTTTAATCAGCTTCTTGATATGCCACACCTGTCAGGTGGATGGATTATTTTGCGAAAGGAGAAATGCTCAATAACAGGGATGTGAACAAATTTGTGCACAAAATTTGAGATAAATAAGCTTTTTCTGCATATGGAAAATATTTTATTTCGGCGCATGAAACATGGGACCAACACTTTACATGTTGCGTTTATATTTTTGTTCAGTATAAACGGCACACATTTAAACGGCACACAGGCATTTAAACGGCACACAGTGCAGTACTCTTTCTAGGAAAACTGTTAAGGGCCTGTATGAAAAATTTATACACTCACTAACTGTAAGTCGCTCTGGATAAAATGTAAAAATGTAAAGAAGTGAGAGAGCATTTCCATCCAAGCATGTGTGCCAGGGAAAGTTGGTGAAGTGTGTGTGTTAGTGAGTGTCTGTTAGTGTGTGTGTGTGTGCGTGTGCATGTGCGTTTGTACGTGTGTGTGTGTGCGCACGTGCATGTGCACGTGATAGGCGGAGCTCCTGTGTGAGCTCTTGTGAAGTGAAAGGTTAAATGGAGTGTATTGCTGCATCTTACTCCCTGTTGGGAAGCAGCATACTGTATGTCCTTATTCTAATTAGAGACGTTGACAGAGAGGCTCAGACAAACAAACATAGCCCACAGGAACCATCTGTGCCCGCAAGCACAGCTCTGATGGTGGTTGAACCCAATGATGAAGTAACCCATAATGACAACGCAAACACTTGGTAGGCAACAGACACGTCCTGCAATCTGGCCTCAACATGGCAGGAGCTTCATTGTGGTGTGTGTGTATGTGTGTGTGTGTGTGCATGCATGTGTCCCAGGTGGAAGTTCCTGACAGAGAGACCATTAATGTGAGTCAGTCTCCCCTGCTAAGCTGTGTGCTATCAGCTGAGTAAAGCCTACCAGTCCTGTAAGTCCTGGCTCCAAGCAGCCATCCCGTGCCAGGCTGAGGAGGGTTGGGGCTCTCCTGTCCTGACTCAGCCTAGTACAGTAACACAGTCTACAGTATGTCTGGACAACAGTGATTCCGATGGAACTTACTGTATTCTCTAGCTGACTTCATTGTACTTGAATGTTAGCTGCACCTCTGTTCCTGAAAATGGTGGCGTTGTTTACAGAGTTCAGGAAATCCCATATTTACTGCTGTATGAATATTGTTACTTCGTTAACACCTCTGCCAAGGCCAATTATCTCCCTGATCCCTGCCTTACATTCCATTTAGAGATGTTTTGGATGTGAATGAAAATTTTAGCTAGTAATATAACTACAACTGTGACTTTGCAGGAGAGATGTGTGGCTTCATGATAACCTCCAGAATCTCACTGGGAGTTTATACTGTTCTCACATCTCCAGTGTTCCCACCGTCACATCAGTCACAGGGCTGTGAGCTTCCTCCTCCAGACCTGCTTTTGCTTTTGGGGGAGAATGTTCTGTGAGTTATACTTCTGTGGCTTTCAAATCAAATACTTCTGATTCCACTCATATTCTGTCACTTTTACGGCTCCTTATCCTTTCAGCACTCAATCTACCAAACACACACACGTACACAGATACACACAAACAAACAAATGCATGCAGACATGCACACCCACAACGACTTAAAGCACTTGCAATTGATTGAAAACCAAAAGTATAAACAATTGAATCCATGCTTTCAGCAACGGGAAGTAGAGGAGGACTTGGAAAACAACGCAGAAAGTAACTTTAAAAACCGAGTCGATTCCGGAGGACAGAGAGAATGCCTTCCTAGTGCTGAATTATACATTAGGGAGTGGAGCAGCCTATCTTTTGTACATGACTGGTTTCTGGGAAAGATAATCCCTTTCTCACTGGACTGTGGCTGACTCTCTCCCCCATGTAGAATATGGCTAAGTGGCAGGGTCTGAGTTTGTCTCACTCTGTGGACTGGATGTGCCATGAAGACCACAGTGGCCAGACCAGATTGGCCATTTCTTGTTTTTACACTAACAATTGTATTACAATGCATTTAGGGCCAGGAGTTTTTCCAGATCATGGGACCTGGCCAGAACAAATCTGGGCCCTAGTTATAATCACAACTAAGGCCTAGTCTTTCCTGGTCAGATCACACAGTCAGGAAAAACTTAATGTATACCAGAAATCGTGGAGAACATATGACCTCCATCACTGGGCTGGTCTGGTCTCTCCAACAGTGAGTCCATGGGGAGCTCCAGGGAGAGATCCATTACAGCCTCGTCCACATAGTTAGGATTCCAGGGTGAGGTTATCCTGAGAAACTGGGTTCCCTATGGAGGAGCAACATCTGCATGTTGCCTTTTCCCCTACATTTCCACCCACCATTCCAAACATATGGGCAGTGCTCCTCTTGAGTATTGTTCATACAGCTTAGTGATTACAGTAATACTGAATGTGTAAAGCCTTTCCTTCTTGTACACAACTATTTCTGAATGTATCAGTAATGCATACTGTACTGTATGGTGTCAGGCAACAGTATGTGCCTCCTGCTGTGCTACTGGTGTAAATATCTCCCAGTGTTCCTCCCCCCTCCACGCTCACGGAGTCTCACAGTCACATTCAGTGAGCCGTGCCTTAAGCGGAAAAGACAGAGGAGACATGTCATTTCCAACCCCCTTGCAGAAGATAAGGCACTGACTGTCATACGTCTTGCAGTTGATTGGGGTTGAGAAACCCAGGTCAGATCTATCTCTCTCCCACACACACATCACCCACCTATTTACACCCCCCCACCTTTCTGCACATACTATCTGTGTCCCCCTGAGAGACACTCAATGTGACACACACACACACAACACACACACACAACACACTCACTCCGTCCTTGGATCTCACCCACAGCTGGAGAGAAATCAGATCAGCATGAGTGGGCACTCCATGTTCCGTGAGAGCACTCCTCTCTCTGCTGACGGATGGATGAGAGAGAAAGAGAGAGAGAGAGAGAGAGAGAGAGAGAGAGAGAGAGAGAGAGAGAGAGAGAGAGAGAGAATGATGGCTCAGTGACAGAGTGGGTACAGGTGAGGGACATCCACACGCCAGCCTCAGTATCTGTGCTTACATTCCATTTTGGTCCCGCTCCAAGACTCCACTCAGAGGAAAAGGGTTGCAGGGACTCTGGCTTAAGTGCTCGATTTGTAGCTGTCGGAAGTACATTGTGTTTTCCCCTCAGTCCAGAGAAGATCACAGAGGACCCAGGTGTTTCTCTTTCCTCTAGCTCTCTCTTTCAGGACAGGTCTCTCAAAGGGCTGAGTTACAGTACAGTGTACAGGGACATTTGATGAAGGTCCGGTCCCCTGACGTCTTCCCAGGAAATATCTTTCTCTCGCTCTCTCTCTCTCGCTCTCTCTGCTAAGGTTTGTGGGCTCATATGATAAGCAGCACACATCACATTTGCCGATTCCCACGAGAATACCATGTGACAAATGGTGTCTAGGAACAGCAGCTCGACTGCCAAAGCAACAACACACCCCCTCCCAAACCATAGCTCATCTCATTCACCTCCAGACTGTACACACAAAGTGGTATCCTCTCTCCAGGGTAGCAGCAGCAGCCAGTCGGACCCAGACAGACACAGAAAGGCTGGGGAGTCCTGGGGGGGGGGGGGGGGGGGGGGGGGCTCTGGGCTGGCTGGCGGTTGGCAGTGTGTGAGGTGTCCATCATCTGGACAAGGAGAGTCCCCCAGGTTGGCAGCGCCCTTGTGCTTCTTCTAATGAACCTCTGCCTGTGGCACTCCATCACCGTGACAATGCCCACTAATGACCCCGTGTTGGGTGTGAGATGTCACAGCCCCCTCCCTCTCCATCACAGCCCTGCCGTCAACACAAACCTCTACCAACACTCCCTCTAGAGCCGTCCGTCACCCTCACTACAACGCCCACCTGGGACTAACAATAGCCCTGTGTGGCTGACTATGGCTATATCACACTGTAGCTGTGCAGCCCTCAGACACCATACAACCATCCTCAATCCTGTTCTCCTGAGTGGCGCAGTGGTCTAAGGCACTGCATCGCAGTGCTAACTGTGCCACTAGAGATCCTGGTTCGAATCCAGGCTCTGTTGCAGCCGGCTGCGACCGGGAGACTCATGGACGGCGCACAATTGGTCTAGGGTAGGGGAGGGAATGGCCGGCAGGGATGTAGCTCAGTTGATAGAGCATGGTGTTTGCAACGCCAGGGTTGTGGGTTTGATTCCCACGGCGGTCAGTATAAAAAAAAAATGTATTCACTAACTGTAAGTCGCTCTGGATAAGAGTGTCTGCTAAAATGTAAATGTTAACCACTTATGCTATATAGTATCAATCTGAGTTGGACAGAACTGTACTTAAAATATAGTCACCCGTGCCTCTTGAATACCATTCTCCATAGTAGGCTATTTATACCAATCATGTGTATAGAATATCTGTTCATTGACAGATATAAGGTCAATATCTGAGGTTGAATTATAACCTGTATAATTATAATACTGTATAATCTCTTCTTCTCCCATGAAATGGCTGTCATTGGCTGTAAATCATTATAGATCTCTAATTGCTTATCACATCTGCAACTTCAAACAAGCAGCCATCTCCCAGAGTGAGCTTTGATGTGAGTAGTGTGTGTGTGCGTATGCAGCCGTTCTGACAGTTGTTGGAGTTTAACTCAAAGGGCATCTTCCAGCTCTTTTTATGTCAACACTTTAAGTGTGTTTAAAGAGATGACAGGATGAGATACTGTAGTACACTCTATAATACACTCTGTAGTACACTCTGTAGTAATACTCTGTAGTGTAGTACACTCTGTACTGTTGTACACTCTGTTGTACACTCTGTAATACACTCTGGACCAGTGTCATGTCAGTGATCAAAGCTGTGACAGGTTGGTTTACAGCGTTGTATTTACAGTTGATGATGATAACATAGGACTGGAGTAAAAACAGATGGGGAAAGGCAAAGTGTGAAGCTAATACATCTTCTGAGACCAGCTCTGCCCTCCCACTCTTACTGATCCATAGTCCTATCCACAGCCTCTGTGTTACTCCCTCTCCTCCTACACCTTATCCCTGTGTGTGAGGTTGCTGCTCCAGGAATCAATCATTCCTTTAATTTCAGTCAGCCTTATTACTGTTGGGAGCTCAGCAACTCAGCATCAAAGGCTGTTATGTGCTCTCCCATCTCCCAGTTCCTCTCTGCTCTCTTACTTAGGGTTTTAGAAAATAATTAAATAAGAATTATGTAGTATTATGTAGTAATCATCTCTAGTGCAGATATTGCAAACAGGCAGTTTTCCGGTCACCTCTGTGGAAGGTGTATAATAATATGACAGGACAACACCCAAAGGACTCAGTACATGGCAGAATACAGTAGTGTAGCAGTCTCTCCATGATAAGCCTCTGCACTGCTTTGATATATGACTGATCTAGGAGCTGGCATCACATCACACTCTCTCATCCACTGTCGCACAGCTAGGGAAATTGCAAATCAGTTCTGCGGTTTCGCCAAATATGTGTGGAATAACTTTTAATAATTGAGTTTAATTTATATGATTTGCTCAGATGAGCAGTTTTCTGGACTGCTACAGTAGGAGTAAAGTAACTATAACTCTCCTCTGTGTTCTTGTGTTGTAGACCCAACATGGACGAGGCAGAGAAGTACCAGCAGAGAGTGCAGGCTATAGCGGTGAGTCTCAGGGCTTTAGTTCCACCTTATGAATTTATTTGAACTTATGCATTGATAAAGACGCACAACAATGGTCAGAGCAGTGAGACATTTACTCTGCATCAAGTCAGTGATCTGTAAATAGTTACCCTTTTTTAACCTCACATTCTGCAGAAGTCAACACAATTAAAGGCATTCTAACATTAGGCATACAACACACACACAGAGCACATTGACATTTACTATACATTATGCTTATATGATGGATATTTGCCCCAGCCCTGTACATGCACACATATACATACACGTCACATGCCTGCTCTCCCCCAGGTCTGTCCATGTGTTTGAATAATTCAGTTGGGTTGTGCTGCATGGCGTTTGCTTCAGGGCCACTATTGACCTCATCAGCAGGGTTAAACACTACAGGGACCTTGAGCATTAGGAGACAGTAGAAATACACACACACACACACACACACACACACACACACACACACACACACACACACATACACACACACCATGCCTTCTCTCCATGCTTTATCCTGTCTTTCTTTGATGCAGTGGGGTCTAGCCAACTCCCACATGTTATGCCCCAACACAGTTCTTACTGAATTAGGTTAGACCAAAATCGTTTAAATTCTGATCTAAATTAGCCCTTCTGTTTAGCATAATCTAATTGCAGTTGCTGTTGAAAGGAGGGATGTCGGGGAAACTATTTGACAATTCCAAAGGGATAGTAGTGGTGGTTTCCGGTCTCATGCCTGGATTGGTGCTAATGTATGGGAGTGAGCCGCTCCTCCTTACGGAGCATGAATGTGCAGGATGTGTGATATGTGTGTTACTGTCAGACTAGCTCATGAAGATGGAGTGCTGGCATGCCCACGTGCTCCTAGCCTTGCCCCTTCATCTCCGTTTCTCTGCACTTTGACCTTAAAGAACCAGCTGTTCCACAGGTCAACAGCAGATATGACTAAGGGGCTTGTCACTGTAATCTACTGTCACAGCTTTGTCACTCTCTTTCTCTTCTTCTCCCTTCACCAGGACAAGCGACGTAAGCAGCAGGAGGACGAGAAAGCAAGGAGAGAGATGGAGGAGGAGTGGCTGATGCAGGCCCAGCGCAAGGTCTGTCTGGATCTGTCTGTCTGTGCTTCCCTGTTGTCCTGTTGCCAGGGAGCCACATGGCTGGCAGCTGGTTCACATGCCCAGGGTGGAGCCCTCCTGTGTGATGATCAACACAATTAGCTCCATAACACCACCAGACAACATCCCCAACACCATGAGGCGTCCTGAGGCATACTGTTGAGCTCCACTCTATTCCTCTAAAACAGTATTTTCTTCCTTCTTCCTGTTCACCTCTCTTCTGCTCATAATCTTACCATGACCTCTGTAACTGAGAGAAACTGAAATGATGAGGTGGTTGTAGAGAAAGAGGGAGGGAGTGAGAGAGAGAGAACTGTGCATTGTGTTGATCTTTGTCAGTAACTCTCTCCTCCACTGGGACCACCAGCACTGATCCCATTAACTTCTTCACGTCTGATCAGTGGTGGAGTGACTAGAACCGCTCCATCAACACATAACACTCAGGCAGCCGCCCACACAAACAGTCTACTCTACATTACTGGGTTTGCCTGAGGATGTGTGCTGTGCTGGTGGCACCAGACATACACATGGCAGAGGAATGAGAGTTGTCTGAAGCCACGGGGCTTCCTTCTTCCTCCTCAGTGTGAAGTGTGAGAACAGTCTCTTGTTCCCACTTGCCCAGCAGTTATGGCATTTACATTTTAAATTTTTTTGTCATTTAGCAGACGCTCTTATCCAGAGCGACTTACAGTTAGTGAATGCATACATGTTTTTTTTGTTGTTGTTTTTTATACTGGCCCCCCCGTGGGAAACGAACCCACATCCCTGCCGGCCAAACCCTCCCCTACCTTGGACGATGCTGGACCAATTGTGCACCGCCCATGGGTCTCCCGGTCGCAGGCCGGCTGCGACAGAGCCTGGACTCGAACCAGGATCTTTAGTGGCACAGCTAGCACTGCGATGCAGTGCCTTAGACCACTGCGCCACTCGGTATTCACAGCTCACTTCCCCTCCTGTCTTACATTATTAGCTGACCCTGAGCACAGTAAGAGACTAGCCCGCATGGAGCGGTCACATAAGTTCCATCCAAAAGGTTTTTGTCCTGGCAAATAGTTGTGAACAAGGCCCACTTAGTGTCACCACCACTCCAATATACTGTTGTGTCATTGTCACCACTGTCTGTCTGTTGTTGTGGCTCGGCTTCCTCTCACACTTCCCACGTCATTGTATGGCTAATTGATGAGGCTTGGAGCCAGGTAGGACTATGTTCACCCCTCGGCTTGGTGTTGTCATACCCGAGTTGGAATGACAGGAGGACCCCTCCTTAAAGTCACTCCTTTACTGTACCTCTGGGCTCTGGAAGGTTTCTACTTCAAAGGTTGAAAGGGAACTCACTGAGTCGCAGCCAATGCAGGTTGGTCCATTTACAAACACTCTCAAAATGTACATGGTCAGGTTGATTATTGTCAGTCTCAATCAGACCCCTTGTGATCAAGCCTTCACCCAGGTTCGAGGATGTGTGGCTCTCTGAGCCCTCCCTGTGAGGGAGCCGGAGTTGGGGGCAATTTCTCCCTCTCAGACAGACAACACCAGGCTCTTGGCCTCACTCATCTTGCTGGTGATCCAAAATGGCAGCCAGAGCTCTGTACCTAGCGGCTGTTTGTTTTGGTTACTGCATACTGGATGACCGTTTCAGTATTCATAGAGACAGAAGGCTTTTGTTGTTTTTTGCTTTTTCTGCTATGGGGAATTTGGGAGAATAGGCTTGTTTTGAAAGGATGAGCTGGCAGGTGGGGGAGCTGCATGCTGCGAGATATGGCTCAGAGCGTAGGCCGTTCCATGCATATGCTAACGGCACAGGACACAGCAGACCCTAGTCATAGTCACCAACCCTCTCTCTCTCTCCATCCCTCTCTCTCTCTCCATCCCTCTCACTCTCTCTCCATCCCTCTCGCTCACCCTCTCTCTCTCATCCCTCTCTCTCCCTCTCTCCATCCCTCTCCCTCTCTCCATCCGTCTCTCTCGCTCTCTCTCTCTCCATCCCTCTCTCTCTCTCTCCATCCCTCTCACTCACTCTCTCTCCATCCCTCTCCATCCCTCTCTCTCTCCATATCTCTCCTCACAGCGGAAGTCCTTGAGAGACCAGTGGCTGAGTGAGAACCCTCAGCCTGCCCCTGAACGCAGTGCTGAGGACTACACAGAGGAGTGAGACACCCACGGCACACCCACACCCCACACACACACACACACACACACACACACACAAGCTATCACTACCCATGCCTGTTGGCTGAGGGAGTTAATATGCTCAGATGTTTATATATCTCTTACATAAAGCATTTGATACGTACCCTCCCCTGAACTGTAGTCATGTCTCTGCATGTATGAATTGTATGTGTGAATGAGTTTGTATGTTAATGTGTTGGTTTCATGTGTCATGGGGTGTTAAGGTCATCATTGTGTGTATGTATGTGTATTAGGTTGCCAACTGAAGAGGATATAGTGGAGGTCATTGAATCCACAAGCTACACAGTCACCAATGCCCAGAACCACAGCCAGGCAAGTGGAGAAAGCAGAGAAATTCTGAGAACCTGAAGTTCAATATGATTTCTAATATACTCAAATCAACTAAAATAACTCTGTTCCATATTAAATAGCTTATCAGATTTTCCCCAATATATACTGAACAAAAATGTAAACGCAACATAGAAAGTGAGCATTTCTCACAGGTGCACCTTGTGCTGGGGACAAGAAAAGGCCACTCTAAAATGTGCAGTTTTGTCACACAACACAATGCCACAGATGCCTCAAGTTTTGAGGGAGCATACAATTGGTATGCTGACTGCAAGAATGTCCACCAGAGCTGTTGCCGGATAATTGAATGTTCATTTCATCATAAGCCGCCTCCATCATCGTTTTAGAGAATTTGGTAGTACATTCAACCGGCCTCACAACCGCAGACCACGCGTAACCACGCCAGTCCAGGACCTCCACATCCGACTCGTCACCTGCAGGATCGTCTGAGGAGTATTTGAGGAGTATTTATGTCTGTAATAAAGCCCTTTTGTGAGGAAAAACTAATTCTGATTGGCTGGGCCTGGCTCCCCAGTGGGTGGACCTGGCTCCGAAGTGGGTGGGCCCCATTTGGGAAATCCATAGATTAGGGCCTAATTACTTTATTTCAATTGACGGATTTCCTTCTATGAACTGTAACTCAGTAAAATCTTTTGAAATTATTGCATGTTGTGTTTATATTTTTGTTCAGTATCCTTTTTTTTACCCCAATGGTCTGTTTAACTCAATAGTCTCAATGTTTTAACATCAATAACAGTTAATTCCGTTTGAATGTAATATAAATAACATCTACAGCAGTTCAACAGAGAATTAATATTCAGCAGACACCACTCTTCTCTATAGTAAAGTATCCACTTGGTCATACAGTTATGACCTTTTCAACAGATTTGTTTTTGCCTCCCTTTGGAAATCAAACCACATTAAGTTGCAAGTGCCAATCCCCTGTTAGTTGGAGTGTATGTAGTACGCTACCCTATGGAAAACTCTTAACTCTTTGACATTTAGTGACATTATAGCCCTACACATTAGGGGAGCCCTAAAGGGTGTCTATCTATTGACTGACAGGACATTGACCCCGTACCAACTGTGAACTCTACAGGAGAACATACACTGAGTGTACAAAACATTAGGAACATCTTCATCAGAACATCCTCAATTCGTCGGGCATGGACTAAAAGGGGTCAAAAGCATTCCACCAGTAGCGGTGCGTGGGTAAAATCCCTGGGGAAGCCAAGCCAGAAAAATGTCATATTAAAACGTATGTGTTGTGATAATTGCGTTGTTTGCTCTATAAGCTGTTAGTTCATATGCCTTGCTTCCGTGATATATATGTCACAATAGCTGATGTGGATGCGGTGTAGGAGTCAGGCGCAGGACACAGAGGCTCAGTCAAAACGACTTTACTCAGACTGAATAGAGAACAAAATCAAACGGCCTCGAAAACACAGGAGGCAAAACGATTACGCAACACAGTGCGTAAAAAATACTCGTTCCACAATAAGAACGTACAGGGACACCAACGGACAGGCGGACAATCACACACAACTGCAAACAAAACTAAAGGAAACTTATAGGTGACATAATCAATACATAAGACGAAACAGGTGCACCAACAAGACAAAACCAAACAAACATAGAGAACATCAAGCGGTAGCAGCTAGTACTCCGGGGATGACGAACGCCGAAGCCTGCCCGAACAAGGAGGAGGAGCAGTCTTGGCGGAATTCGTGACAGTACCCCCCCTTTGACGCGCGGCTCCAGCCGTGCGCTGACCCCGGCCTCGGGGACGGCCAGGAGGACGTGGAGCAGGGCGCGTAGGATGACTACGGTGGAACTCAGTCAGGAGGGATGGATCTAAAACGTCCCTCCTAGGCACCCAGCACCGTTCCTCCGGACCGTACCCCTCCCACTCCACGAGATATTGTAGACCCCCCATCCGACGTCTCGAATCCACGATGGACCGGACTGAGTACGCCGGAGCCCCCTCGATGTCCAGTGGGGGCGGGGGAGTCTCTCTTATCTCACTGTCCTGGAGTGGACCAGCTACCACCGGCCTGAGGAGAGACACATGGAACGAGGGGTTAATGTGATAATCATTAGGCAGTTGTAACTTGTAGCATACCTCGTTCAGTCTCCTCGGGACTTTAAATGGCCCCACAAACCGCCGACCCAGCTTCCGGCAGGGCAGGCGAAGGGGCAGGTTTCGAGTCGAGAGCCAGACTCGATCTCCAGGTGCGTATACTGGACCCTCACTGCGGTGGAGATCGGCGCTCGCCTTCTGCCGACGGATGGCCCGCTGCAGATGGACGTGTGCAGCGTTCCACGTCTCCTCCGAGCGCCGAAACCACTCATCCACCGCAGGAGCCTCGATCTGGCTCTGATGCCATGGTGCCAGAACCGGCTGATACCCTAACACACACTGGAAAGGGGTCAGGTTAGTAGAGGAGTGGCGAAGAGAGTTCTGAGCCATCTCTGCCCAGGGGATATACCCCGACCACTCCTCCTGCCGGCCCTGGCAATATGATCTCAGAAACCTACCCACATCCTGGTTCACTCTCTCCACCTGCCCATTACTCTCAGGGTGGAACCCCAAGGTAAGGCAAACCGAGACCCCCAAACGTTCCATGAACGCCCTCCAGACTCTAGAGGTGAATTGGGGACCCCGATCAGACACTATATCCTCGGGAACCCCGTAGTGCCGGAAGACGTGGGTAAACAAAGCCTCAGCAGTCTGTAGGGCAGTAGGGAGACCCGGCATTGGGATGAGACGACAGGCCTTAGAGAACCGATCCACAACGACCAGAATAGTGGTATTCCCCTGAGAGGGGGGAAGGTCCGTTACAAAGTCCACCGAGAGGTGAGACCACGGCCGTTGTGGAACGGGCAGGGGTTGTAACTTCCCCCTGGGCAGGTGTCTAGGCGCCTTACACTGTGCGCACACCGAGCAGGAGGAGACATAAACCCTCACGTCCCTAGCCAATGTTGGCCACCAGTACTTAACACTAAGGCAGTGCACTGTCCGGCCAATACCCGGATGTCCAGAGGAGGGTGACGTATGAGCCCAATAAATTAGACGATCGTGGACCTCGAGCGGCACGTACGTCCGACCCACTGGACACTCTGGGGGAGTAGGGTCGGTGCGTAACGCCCGCTCAATTTCCGCATCGACCTCCCATACCACCGGTGTCACCAGACAAGACTCCAGCAGTATGGGAGTGGGCTCAATGGACCTCTCCTCTGTGTCATACCGCCTGGACAGGGCGTCTGCCTTACCGTTCTGGGACCCTGGGATGTAGGTTATCTTAAACACGAACCGGGTCAGAAACATGTTCCACCTAGCCTGACGAGGGTTCAATCTCCTAGCTGCCCGGATGTACTCCAGGTTACGGTGATCAGTCAGAATGAGAAAAGGGTGTTGAGCCCCCTCAAGCCAATGCCTCCACACCTTTAGAGCTTGAACCACGGCTAACAGCTCCCTGTCCCCTACGTCATAATTCCGTTCCGCCGGGCTGAGCTTCTTAGAATAAAAAGCGCAGGGACGGAGCTTAGGAGGCGTGCCTGAGCGTTGCGACAGCACTGCCCCAATACCGGCCTCTGACGCGTCCACCTCTACCTGGAACGGTAAAGCGGGGTCCGGATGCGCCAGCACCGGAGCCGAAGTGAACAGGTCCTTCAGTTTACCAAACGCCCTGTCCGCTTCAGCCAACCACTGCAAACGCACCGGGCCCCCCTTCAACAGGGAAGTGATGGGAGCTGCTACCTGTCCAAAACCCCGGATAAACCTCCGGTAGTAATTAGCAAAACCCCAAAACCGCTGCACCTCTTTAACGGTGGTTGGAGTCTGCCAATTATGCACGGCTGACACACGGTCAACCTCCATCTTCACCCCTGACGCGGACAACCGATGACCCAAGAAGGAGATGGACTCCTGGAAAAACAGAAATTTCTCTGCCTTGACGTACAAGTCATGCTCCAACAGCCTACCCAACACTCGGCGCACCAGGGCTACATGCTCGGCTCGTGTAGAAGAGTACACTAAGATGTCGTCAATGTACACTACCACACCCTGCCCATGCAGGTCCTGGAAGATCTCGTCCACAAAGGATTGGAAGACCGAAGGAGCATTCATTAACCCGTATGGCATGACGAGATACTCATAATGACCCGAGGTGGTACTAAATGCTGTCTTCCATTCATCTCCCTCCCTAATGCGCACCAAGTTGTAGGCGCTCCTGAGGTCCAGTTTTGTGAAGAAACGCGCTCCGCGTAATGATTCAGTCATAGTCGCAATCAGAGGAAGAGGGTAACTGTATTTAACAGTGATCTGATTGAGACTACGGTAATCAATACACGGGCGCAACCCTCCATCCTTCAAAAGACTTTAGTAATGCACACTCAAAACACGATCCAACAGCCCGGAGGCGAGAAAATGCGCACACAGGCGTAAACAAAAGGGCGCACTAAACATGTGCGAAAAATACTCTCCTACACAAAGGAGGCAAGCTACAATAGCGCACTGTAAATAGTAGCGCACCAACACGACAGCGAAAACAATCACACACAACACCTGACAAACACAACGAGAACTTATAGGACACTAATGACGCTAAACGACAACAGGTGTACATAATCCAGACAAAACCAAACGAACATAGAAACATACAACGGTGGCAGCTAGTATTCCGGAGACGATGAACGCCGAAGCCTGCCCGAGCAAGGAAGAGAGGCAGCCTCGGCCGAAACCGTGACAGCAACACAGTGCGTAAAATACTCGTTCCACAATAAGAACGTACAGGGACACCAACGGACAGGCGGACAATCACACACAACTGCAAACAAAACTAAAGGAAACTTATAGGTGACATAATCAATACATAAGACGAAACAGGTGCACCAACAAGACAAAACCAAACAAACATAGAGAACATCAAGCGGTAGCAGCTAGTACTCCGGGGACGACGAACGCCGAAGCCTGCCCGAACAAGGAGGAGGAGCAGTCTCGGCGGAATTCGTGACAATATATGCCTAAGGCCGAGACAATAAGAAGACACAGTGGCAGAATAAATTAAATCACACCTTTGTTTCATCACAAAACCGGAGAGCAACATCTGTCCGGTGGAGTCCACAAAGCATATTGCATGTAACAAACAGTTACATGACTTACAGCATGGTCAAGCAAGTTAATGTTTCCGACATTTTCGGACTACTAAACAACTGTTGATTTAGAACACCGGAGTGTTACTGCAAGTCGCAAATAAAACAGGAGCTGCCTCCACTATTCCAGTACCATTTCAACTTCAACATTTCAACATCAAATCACCTATGCTTAGTCTAATACAGTAACAACTAAAAGATACCAAAAACAATTTAGTTCAATCAACGTACGCTAAACATGATGTGGCTGCCCATGGTACTGATGTGTGTGTGTGTGTGTGTGCATAAGTGGAAAAAAAACATGTTGACTCGCCCTACTTGTAGAGAAACGCAATTCTCCTCTCTTTCATGTTGCAGAAACAGTCTACGACTTGTCATACAGTACACACTTTTAGTTTTTGTTGTCCTAGGCTACCTGGCTAAAATGTTTGCTCGCTAGCCAACTTCCTTTCATAGGCAATGATGTGCCAGCTAGTTAACGTTAGTCTACTACAGTGCCTTGCAAAAGTATTCATCCCCCTTGGCGTTTTTGCTATTATGTTGCATTACAACCTGTAATTTAAATTGATTTTTATTTGGATTTCATGTAATGGACATACACAAAATAGTCAAAATGTGTAGGGTGAAATGAAAAAAATAACTTGTTTCAAAAAAGTCTAAAACATTAATAACGGAAAAGTGCAACCTATTACCTTTAGAAGTCACATAATTAGTTAAATAAAGTCCACCTGTGTGCAATCTAAGTGTCACATGATCTCAGTATATATACACCTGTTCTGAAAAGCCCCAGAGTCTGCAACACCACTAAGCAAGGGGCACCACCAAGCAAGCGGCACCGTGAAGACCAAGGAGCTCTCCAAACAGGTCAGGGACAAAGTTGTGGAGAAGGACAGATCAGTGTTGGGTTATAAAAAAATATCCGGAACTTTGAACATCCCACGGAGCACCATTAAATCCATTATAAAAAAATGGAAAGAATATGGCATCACAACAAACCTGCCAAGAGAGGGCCGCCCACCAAAACTCATGGACCAGGCAAGGAGGGCATTAATCAGAGAGGCAACAAAGAGACCAAAGATAACCCTGAAGGAGCTGCAAAGCTCCACAGCGGAGATTGGAGTATCTGTCCATAGGACCACTTTAAGCCGTATACTCCACAGACCTGGGCTTTACGGAAGAGTGGTCAGAAAAAAGCCATTGCTTAAAGAAAAAAATAAGCAAACAAGGCATGTGGTAGACTCCCCAAACATATGGAAGAAGGTACTCTGGTCAGATGAGACTAAAATTGGTGGTGGCAGCATCATGCTGTGGGGATGTTTTTCATCGGCAGGGACTGGAAAACTGGTCGGAATTGAAGGAATGATGGATGGCGCTAAATACAGGGAAATTCTTGAGGGAAACCTATTTCAGTCTTCCAGAGATTTAAGACTGGGACAGAGGTTCACCTTCCAGCAGGACAATGACCCTAAGCATACTGCTAAAGCAACACTTGAGTGGTTTAAGGGGAAACATTTAAATGTCTTGGAATGGCCTAGCCCAGACTACAATCCAATTGAGAATCTGTGGTATGATTTAAAGATTGCTGTACACCAGCGGAACCCATCCAACTTGAAGGAGTTGGAGCAGTTTTGCCTTGAAGAATGGGCAAAAATCCCAGTGGCTAGATGTGCCAAGCTTATAGAGACATACCCCAATAGACTTGCAGCTGTAATTGCTGCAAAAGGTGGCTCTACAGTGTATTGACTTGGGGGGGTGAATAGTTATGCACGCTCAAGTTTTCTGTTTTTTTAATTTTTTTCTGTAGCTCAGCTGGTAGAGCACGGCGCTTGTAACGCCAAGGTAGTGGGTTCGATCCCCGGGACCACCCATACACACAAAAAAATGTATGCACGCATGACTGTAAGTCGCTTTGGATAAAAGCGTCTGCTAAATGGCATATTATTTGTCTTATTTCTTGTTTGTTTCACAATAAAAAAATATTTTGCATCTTCAAAGTGGTAGGCATGTTGTGTAAATCAAATGATACAAACCCCAAAAAAATCCATTTAAATTCCAGGTTGTAAGGCAACAAAATAGGAAAAATGCCAAGGGGGGTGAATACTTTCCCAAGCCGCTGTACATCTAGCTACATATTGAACTTCCATCCTTTCAGGCCAGAGGCACAATGTATGAATTTATGGTTGGATCAAAATTGCCGTTATAATCATTGTCCAGTATGGAGAATTAAGTAAAACCACATGTCCAAATCCCTATCTCCATTCATGGCTTATTTAGAAAAGGTGACATCAATAAGGGATCATAGCTTTCACCTGGATTCACCTAGTCAGTCTGTCATGGAAAAAGCAGGTGTTCCTAATGTTTTGTACACTTAGTGTATATAATATATTGGTCCATTACGTGAACTTTTACATTCAGGTTCATGTATGGTCCATATTTAGCTCACACTTGGTAAGGACAGTCAGTGTGGTATTCATCTCTAACGCTTCTCTAATGATTACTGTGACATATTTATGGCAGTGCGCCGGGCCTGGGAGAGATCAGGGATGAAGAGTAAAGTGTTTGGGGGAGACAGTGACTGTAGGACCGATTGGACCTGGGGTTCCACTTAAAATGGTCTCCTCTGTTTCCCCATAGGCTGACATTGAAGAGGGTGGGATACAAGGTAAGCTTCACCTACATGGTCCTTTATCCCTAGGCCTGGATATCTCTTTCATTCTCACTTTCTCTTAGATCATCCTGCATGTGACTGTTCTTTCATCTCTTTCTGACTGACACTAATGTAATCAGTGTGACAGAATGAAGCCACAGCTGTGATTGTTTTATCATTTGTATGATATAACTCAAACGCATGATTGTCGCACAGCATATTAGCCTTTGTATATGGAAAGATGCAGTACAATGGTTTTGTATTAGCTCACTGTATCTTTATCCTTTAGACATCATCAAAGCTGCTGGGAGTCAGATCCCTGGGCCAATAATGGAGAGGGTTCTCCGTGAGAATGGACTGGAACGTCGATCAGGTACTGTATGGGGAGGATTCCACCACAGAAATGTGATAGTGCTCATCATCATCATCCACACCATTGATTTGGGACAGGCCCAGTCATAGTGAAAATCTATACATACCTTCGCTATGAGGGAAACCATATTTCTCTCCATATTTTTCTCAATATGTGTGTATTTACTGAGTGGAGGGACCTTGACTTCCTGTTCCTGTGGCTGGGTTTTGCCTCCAGGGTAAGGCTTAACGATGTGGCTGGCTGGGGTGAAGGGCTGGAGCAGAATGCAGGCGATAGTTATATTTAGCCCACTTTGTTTCTTTTGGTACATTTCTGATGCATGCTGGGGGCTATGGAGAGTGGAAAGTGTACTGGGTTGTACACTGTGAGGCTGCACATTGACCCTGTGTTGTTTACTCATGTTGTGCAGGCTGACATTAGCAAAGAGGGCTCTGACATATGCCACAAAAATGTGCCTCCTCGCCCTTCACCTTCTGGTAATGTAGGCCTTGCTTTAGGGGAAAGGCTATATTGATAGTATTTGAGTAGTGGTATGGGGAGAATATAACATTAATATTTTATGTTTATGTAGCCCAGGTAATCCATGCTCTGACCATGATTCCAAATATAGTGACTTGACTGTTATATTGCCCTGGATAATTTCTCCCTCCTCTGTGTTGCAGTGCTGGGGATGGTTGCGGTGCAGGTGGAGAGGGATTCAAAGACAGGGGTCACCAAGGTCAGGTCTGTGGTGCCCATGTCTGGAGCACCCGGGGCCTTGGGGGAGACAGTGTTCAATGACAGCAGGAAGAGCGTCCACCACGTCGGCGGGGAAGAGGGGCAGCCTTCTGTTGAGGAGCTGGGACAGATCCTCAGTGTCATCAACGATGTTGGGATGCAAGTTCTGCTGGATGAGGTCCCAGTTGTACCACAACAGAAGGCAGAGGAGGAGATAAAGGTTGGTGGTGGGATGGAAGAGGAAGTGGACAATGTGGAGGACCCTGCCACACCAACAACCCTGGGCTACAAAGAGGAAGAGGATGAGGTTGTGGGGCATGGGGATGATGAGATGGATGAGGAGATAGGAGTAGGTCAGATAGACCTTGTCGAGGACGCTGTCACACTGACCTTCCTGGGCTACACTGAGGTAAAGGCAGAGAGCGAGGGTCTGGGCCATGAGGATGATCGAGAGTTGGTGAAGGTGGAGCGGGTGATCATTTCTGACGCGGGTGAGGAGGAGATTGTTCTTCAGTCTCCGGTTCTTGGGTCTGAGACTGAACCCTTCCTGGGCTACACTGAGCAAGAGGTTGAGGCTGTGGGGCATGAGGATGATGAGGAGGACATGAGTGGATTGGTGGACTTTGTGGAAGGCTCTGTCCCACCTGCCATCCTGGGCTACACTCAGGAAGAGGTTGAGGATCTGGGACATGAGGATGATCCCCCCAGACCAACCCCACGCTACAGAGCAGAGGAAACAGGAAAGAGGGCATTCAAACACAAGACCAAGTGCTGCTCTATCATGTGATGCTGCACACACTGGCGAAAAAATTACACAGTATCTCTCTCTCTCTCTCTCTCTCTCGTCCCCCCCTTATTTGCTAACTATGCCCTCATGATGAATGGTCATCAGTAAAGCTGGTCCGGTTGTAAAAAAACAGTAGATATCTTCAGATAGAGAGAGGATCTATGAGAGATATCTAGGAGAGATCGAGTATATAGATAGATCTCTAGCTCGAGAGAGATTATCCTGCTATCTCTAAATAGATCTCTCGCGATATATCTCTCTATCTCTTCGCTCTCTATATCGTCTGTCTATCTCTCTCTCTCTCTCCTCTTCTATCTCTCTCTCTCTCTCTCTCTCTCGCTCTCTCGCTCTCTCTCTCGTCCCCCCCTCTATTTCTCTAACCTATGCCACTCATGATGAATGGTCATCAGTAAAGCTGGTCCGGTGGTAACAGACAACAGTAACTTCCTTCTGGACTGGAAGTTTGAACACACTCACAACTGGAAGGAGGTTAATACAGCTATAAAGATGATACCAGGTGTGGTAGAGACAGGTCTGTTTGTGGGGATGACAGAGCGGGTGTACCTTGGGATGGAGGATGGTAGTGTTCGTATCAGAGACCCCCCAGTCAACTGACCAGAGCCCTGCTCCAGCACTACCTGGAACCAACCACCATCAACCATCTCATCTCAACCACAAGTGCCCTAATATTCTATCTCTGCCTGATCTGACGGACTCCGACTGTGATTGGTGTAAAAATAGTCACCTGTAGTTTTGCCTCACACAGACACAACGTCACCTCAACATCTGTCTCTCATCATGGCATGTACAGACTCTAAGTCCCAAATGGCACTCCCTTTGTCCAAGGCAGATAGACCCATGGGGCTCTGGTCAAAGGGAGTGTAGTATGTAGGGATTAGGGTGCCATTTGGGACTGTCTTAAAGAATGTCACTGTCATAAACATCCAACCTGCATTGACTCACTGTGGCCGTAGCTGCTAAACCTGCATTGACTCACTGTGGCTGTAGCTAAAACTGCATTGACTCACTGTGGCTGTAGCTAAAACTGCATTGACTCACTGTGGCCGTAGTAGCTAACAGGGTGTAGTAACATCAGTCAGTGGTGTGTTTTCTGTTTTCTGTTCTCTTTAGATAAACAGAGAGCTCTGGTGGAGTTGAACAAACCAGTCTGGCAGCAGCGGTACAGTCCAAAGACTAAACCTCCTGAATGGTACCCTATCCCCTTTATAGCGCAATAGTTTTGACCCTATGGGGCACACTGACACCAATGGGCCCTTGTCAAACGTAGTGCACTAGAATAGGGATTATGGTGCCATTTTGACCACTAGCCTGAACATCTGCTCTGTTTCTACTGAGAACTGTCTTAACTGGTGTTGTCTGTGTCCCAGATCTCTCTCTAGTAGCCTGGTCCCAGATCTGTCTCTAGTTGCCTGGTCCCAGATCTGTCTGGATGGCCCAAACAGACTTTCTCTCAGGCTGTGTCTCTGTTTGTCTAGTTGTTGCACATCGTTTCCGTTCATTGCTCAAGCCAGCCTTGTGGCATTCTCTTACCTAATACCAAAGTTGCAGGGTCTGGATTCACAAAACATTTCTTAAGGTTTTCAAAATCCAGACTCAATGCATGGCTCACCTAGTCTCAACCTGCTTCCAAACAGCAGTACAGGGGAAGGGGGGGGGATAATGCACCAAATGTAACTATTGAACGGCCATGCATGTCCCCATCTGTAGCCTATTGGCTGTCTTGACTGAGTCTGCTTCTGGCACTAATAACATCCCTTCTCCTTCTATAGCAGCTCCATTATTGGTCACTTAGCAGAATGTTACAGTTTAGCACCAGCTCTATGTCTAACTATCTATACCTTTCAGTGCCAATACGACTGTGATGACAATTTGTAAGTCGCTCTGGATAAGAGCGTCTGCTAAATGACGAAAATGTAAATGTAAAAATGTCTGTATGCTTGGCCTAAATCTACAACATTGTCTAAAATGCACAGGGTGTGCTCCAGAGGACCGTGCCTTTGCTCCTCATCTAAAATGTCACTGGTATCCTCTGAGACTACAGTACCACATGGCTTGTGTCATGGAGTGTTTACTGTTATCCTCCGCTCTTCAAACAGCTCTGTGAACAGACTCCAGTGTGACTGTTACTAAGCCCTTCTTCCTCCTGCTGGACACAGTTAAGTAATGCAACTAGGTTTTACTGCCAGAATCCCAGCAGCACTCATCTCACACTCCTCCTCTGCCTTTGGGATTTGTTGTATCAGCCAGAAAAAAGTACTCAGCATTATGTCCTCTAGGAATGCACCAAAGATGAAGAATGAAACAACCACTGATCTGTTTCTTTTTGGAAATAGATTTTTAAATATTAATCTCAGAAGTTCCTGATGTGCCTATTTCAATTTCAATTGCAACTAACCCTTTTGTTCTCTACTTTTAGAGTGTCCTCTACTTTTAGTGTCCTCATCAGTAATCAAATTGGTTATGAATATGATACTGTATTCCATCAGTGACCAAAACAATCTGTTAAAGAAGGGTTGGTTGCCATTACATCTATTCAGTGCGATTTGTATGTGTAAGTGTTTGATAGTTGAATTTCGATTTAGCCATGTCTGTTAAAAAAACTGGAATTTGTTTGTGATTTTCAAAACAAAATATATTTAACATTCTTATCATTTATGTTTGACTCTTTCTTTCCTTTTGATGAACAGTACCAACATTCCTGTCAGGACTTTCATGTATAGGACTCTGTATTGCAAATTAGCTAAGGTTACATACCATTAAAGACATGCACCGGAACTTTGGCGACTACAAAGTATTTTTTTTTACCTCCCGCTTTGGGCTGGATGTGTCAATGTGTAGTTCATACATACTTAATATATGAGCAGAATTACTGTCTTACCTCAATTAGCCATGAAATCCCTAGTTTAAAAGAGAGACCATTTGGAAGCTGTGCTGCGCCACTTTCCCTCAAATTTTCCCCACGTGGGCCAGCCCTGTAGCAATTCGAGTTGTAGCCAATGAGCTTAAGCCCCTTTGCCGTTTGAGTGACAGGCAGTCTCACCTCTCACGGGTCTCAGCAGCCTAGCAGCATCATTCAGACAGAAGCCTGGACACAGCCACAACACTGCAAACAGGTGGGTCTCTTTCTTCTTCTTCTTCTTCTTATTATTATTATTATTATTATTCATTTTACAGTACCTTGCCGTATTCTGATATTATACTGTTAGTTACCAATGTTTTGTCATTAATAGCACTCACAGATGCATATGATTAATTTACATTTAATTTCCATAACCCATTCAGTTTTCATAAACTAATAATAATGGTTTTGATCAGTATGGCTGTAATTATTGATCACAAAGTAACAACTCATACTCTTTGAAACAAGCATCTAGCTTTGCTTTAATATAGATTTATACAGCCTACAGTTTATTCCCACAAAAATGCTTTAAATATTTGAGATTTAAGGATATTTGATATTTCAGAAGGTAATATGTATAATTAGTTGTGGTTTTCAAGGACGAGCTTGTATTTGTATCACTGAGAAATGTTTGGCTGACTTCCCCTTTATGGAGGAGATGGAAACTAAGCTATAAGCTCATTAAATATCATTAATATGTTGTGTTGCTATGCTATCACTTCATACATAGCGTGGCTGGCGTGTTGATAATCCAGGGCTGGAGTATGGCTATAAGCCTGAGGGTAAATATAGACATTTAAATCTCACCTGCACCTGAGGTGACTATAGATGTAGGAATTTAATTTCATCACTCTTTTGTTGCTGAGAATTTTCCTGCTCGGCAGGAAATGCAAACTTTGTATTAAAGTTTTTAAAAGGCTTCTAAAGTTGGTCATTTCCACTTTTAAATTTCAGACTTGATTTGCCCTAACAAAACATTTATCAACCTCTACAAAAATGACCATTAATTATAATCAACACAATAATTCACATTTCCTGTTGCTGCAGGATTATATTTCTGTTGTAGGAAACTGTTTTAAAATAAAGATCCTACATCTGTAGATTACATGGGAGTATTTGTAATTAGACACGCTGACAGACAGAACTGCACAACCTCAATGACAAGGCATGAGTTCTGATCAGTTTCCCATTATGCATAGTAAAACATCTGGAGTCAATTTAACAGGTATGGTGTCTGGAGACATTCATGCAAATGACATACAGTAAACATGAATTTTCATAATGTGGTTCACTGGTTCTCACATTAGAGATTTCTAAATTGGCAGGAGTTTAAATGAGTATGTTGTCATGAAGTCAAAGGCTGAAAGTGATATGGCTCTGGAGGAGAAGGCTGTGAAGGAGGGGGTCCCTTAGCAGATACATAGTGGATGTGCCAGACAGTGAAAAGCTGATTACTCTTTTCCCCCGGTAAGCAGAACTCTCCTCAGGTCAAAAGAAACCATTGTGGTCAGCTAGTAAATATGTCAGGTGAGAGAGAACAGAATGCACTACAACTTTCAGATAATATGCTTAATTTTAAAGCTTAAAAGGGTGAAGTTGCAATTTTTTAGTATATATTTTTTTTCCAAATTCCATTTTGGATTGAAAAAGTGACTGGAATCAAATTCCCAAAAAGTCACATTATGCCAGGCCAAAGTTGATGAACATTTTACGACAGCAACCCTTTTTTTCAATGATCTACGCATTCCCAAAATAGACTTGGGCAACAGCAGATTCACAAACATTTACTTTACAGTCCTATTTCTGCTTTACTTTAAAAGGTTTACTGTCCTATTTCTGCTGGTATTACCTGACATCTACGACAATTTGTTGTACACACTTGAAACACATTTCGTAATTATTTGGTTTACCGAATGGTAGCCTATCTAGGCCTAGTGGTATATGTTTTTTGAAGGGCTCAAATAACATGCCTCTAATTGCAAAGTCATTAACATATTTTTCAGATTGTGAGACTGAAACCAGACAAGGAAAGGAGAAAAATAAAATATTAAAAAGGTGTGAAGTTCAAGTTACGGAATTATACCCCATCACTATGGAAACAGAGCCCATGGTCAGCCCCCAATCTCCTAAGAGTCCAGTCTCCCAGGAGGATTGTGGTCTCTGGATGGAGGTTGGCTGTAAACCGGCAGAGGACACAGATATGGCCAAAGACAACTCCTCCCTGACTTCTGGTGAAAAGCCCTGTGAGGCCTGGCAGGCTGTCATACCTCCTCCTCCCCCTTTGGTCACTGCAGGCCACCCCAATGGGATGGAGGAGGATGACGATGTCTTCATCCTTCCCCCACCATGCACAGACCCCTCTTGTCCAGAAGAGGGCAGCACTATGGAGCCCAATATAAAAGTCTCAGGTGGGGCCATAAGCGTCACAGAGGCTAAAGAAAATCCCAGGAGCTTAGATGGAGTCCATGCTGAGCAGCCTAGCAGCACTCCAATCGTGGACAAGGCTACAGTAAGAGTGGAAGAGGAGCAGCTGACTGAACTGAAGAAGGGAGGATCTGTGGATATCACAGTGCTGACTGAAGGAACTGGCTCTGCCACGCCACCACCAACAGACGGAAATAAAGCAGTGGGTGCCAGTAGCCCAGAGCAGCCACATCCGAACATGGAAGTCAGCATTCTGAAAGAGACAGATCCTGTCCTGTCATCACAGACATGGGTGTCTGAGCCAGAGCACTGCCTTGACAACAATAGTCATCCAACCTATGAAGGGAACCATCATGGAGCCGGAACATACAGACGAGAGTAACAGTGATGTTGAGGACATGGTCGATGGTAGATCACTAGACTACGACATGACCAAAGACAAGTGGGTCAGGAGAGACAGTGCTAGCAGTGACATCCAGTGCCCCCAGCCTCACCTTTCTATTTCAAGAGGCTTATCCAGAGAACAGGTATCAGTGCCCTCGCCTCAGTCACCTGCCTCTGAGCAGCAGGAGGCTGGCAGCCTGACAGTAGCTAAAGACATCCAGCAGGGGGAGCAGCTGCTGCATCGCCTGCACCTGGTGCAACAGAGACAGGACGGACCAACAGGTGCCACAGGAGCCTCCGCCTTCACACCAGGTAGCCATGAAGACAGCCAATCAGGATACAGGCTACCAGGAGGTAGAGAGAATCGAGTGTAGGAGGGAGGAGGAAGAAGAAGAAGAGGAAGGAGGGAATGAGGGAACCGGTGAAGAGAGAGAGCAGGGAGAGAGAGTACAGCTTCACACTATCGAGGTGGAAGAGAAGGCAGCGTTAAGTGAGGAGGACACAGAGATTCCAGAGAAAGAAGATATTCAAACAGTGAGAGGAGAGAAAGCGGAGGAGGTCCAGTCTAGTCCTCCTGCCCAGCTCAGTGTCCAGCCTATGGTCAGGATGGAGACGGAATGCAGTGACGATGACCAGAGTGACAGTGGGGTGTCCACTGACTTCTCCCCTGTCGGCACACACGAGATCCAGATGACCACAGCCCCCACCATTGACAACAAGGCTCCCCCACCCCAGAATGAGACTCCCATCGAGAGGGAGATCCGGCGAACTGCTGAGAGGGAGCAGAGCCTGCGGCGGTCCAGATGCATGTCAAACACCCAGGAAGGTCAGGAGGTGGTGGACATCCCACTGATGAAGACTCCCCTGCTGGCTAAGACACTGTCCTCTAAGGTGGGGCCGGGGCAGGGCGCCGACTGGCAGTTCTCAGAGAAGAAGATGCAGAAGGAGATCAGCCAGGAGATCCAGAGGGAGCTGGTCCTGGTGAACATGGGGAAGATCCCTGGAGTCTACAGCAAGGGAACAGTACGCCAGATGAGGGAGAGGAAGCTGCTGTTTGAAGCCTTCCAACAAGGCAATGTAGAAGGACCCACCAGGCACAGGAGACCCCCCACCACAGCAAGCCTGGGGATGAGAGGTCATGTCTACCCCTCTGTGCTGGAGAGGACGCGTAGCATGGAGCTTGTCTCTCTCAAAGGCTGCCCTCTCTCAAGAGCCCACTCCCACCAGATGTTTGACTTAAAGAGCCAAAAGGAGGCTAGCTCAGGCCAAAACCCAAGTGCAGAGGGCCAACCGGCGGATAAAGGAGCAGAGCGGAAGGTGATTATTCTGGAAAGTGACGACACAATCATAGCCCACTATCCGAACCAAGACAGAGGAGCCCAGCGCCTCTGCAGAAGCCTAGACTGCCTAATTATAGGGGGCACTGTCTTTACTGAGGAGGAGGCCACGGATGAGGTGAGGGGAGAACAGCCAGGGGATGAGGACGAGGGCTCCGACATCCTCAGGGAGAACCCCTTCTTTAAGCTGCGTCCCTCACTGGCCATGAAGCCGGAGGTGGAGAAGGACATCCGGGAAGCCAGGGAGAGGGAGGAGGAGCTGCGCAGGCAGAGGTGCCGTCTGTACGGAGAGACAGGAGTCAGTGGGGGCAGGCCAGACAGCACAGAGGACCCCGGCCCAGACTCACCTACCACACTCACTCCCTTATCCACCTCCTCTTTCAAAGCATCAGGTCAGTGGATATGTCCTGTTTACACTTAAAATTCCTTTGTGTTTGAATTGGGGCAAAGTGAGGGAGGAGAGTCATACAGTATGTTCGAATTTTAGCAGAAAGTATTTGTTTGTACCATCATCATATGGTGTTGCGTCAACGTTTGATAAACACACCTAGCTGATGGGCATGTGGATAAGCCAGTTATAGCCTCATTCATTCCACAGCACACATTCATCCCAAGCCCAAGCACTTGAATGTCTGCCTATTTGCATTAGCATCAGATAATGTTATTATGGGCACAGTATTGTCGTCAACTTAGTGTCATCCCTGTCACCAGCGGTTAGGGCAAGATCACTCTGGCTGAACACTTATCTGAATCAGCAGCACATGCCACAGGGTGACTTTGTAGGATGATGTAACCAAAGTTACCACACTAGTACTCCACTGTCCAGGAAGTTCAGCTCAAGGGTGTTCTGGGCATCTGCATGTTTGAGATGGCAGATATGTCTTGGGGGGCAGCAGGGGGTTAGGGTTCTGTGAGGACAGTGCAGTCACAACTTATTCCTGTCATGTAATGTAGAATCATATGAGTGTGTATATTCTAGATTGATAAATGACTTGTGGGCATGGGGATGATTATCTACATGGCTGTGACCTGTGACCATTGATATTAGAGGTCTGGGGGGGACAGACAGAAAAATATTATTTCCTTGACTTCTAGCATGATTCAAATAAAATGAACTAGTTCCAAAGAATAGCCATCGGAGGAATTACAGTAGGAGTTATAGTACTGCAATGGATATCAGTCTGTAAATCATTTCCTTATCCCATTTCCTTATTCCTTATCCTGCCTCTCTGCAGTTGATGGCCGACAATCCAAGGGGAAGTTGGATCGGACCTGGCCTCCTCCCAATCCTAAGAGTGCTAGGGAGAACCCTGGACTAACACAGGTACAGCTCTGCCTTCCTAAAAGTTTCCTCCCTGTGACAGGAACACAACATGTCGTTCACTCACAAACTTTTACTGGATGTATCATCAAAAGGATTGCAATTTATAATGTATGTCTGTCTCTGCTAGCAATGTAACAGTAAGGGTTCTGTTTAGAAGCGGTGTATTTACACTGGCAAAACTGACCTCAACATTTATTTTCATAAATGACTGCACTATAATGTTTGACATCTGACAAGAGATGTAGTTATATTCAAGTACTGTGTGTGACTAAATGGAGATTCAGACTGAAATCTAAGCAAACCTAACCTGCTAATCAGACTAGCTAAATCCATTTCCTGTGTCCTGCATTATCTTTCCAGGAGCCCAAGGTTTACAAGGCAGGCGGCCAGAAAACTCCTCTGTGGCAGCGTTGGGAGGCAGGTATGGTGAACGGGCCACTGCCACGGGAATAGGACTGATACTGGAGGTCACTAATACCAGTCCCTCTATAACATTAACATTCCAAATGTATCACTAAGGAACTAGGATGATAGAACTGCATCATTCAAATTGTGGCAATGACTTGAATTAGTTTTAGCTTGAACATTCTATGCTTTGTAAGACTGAAATCTGTGTTGTATATAACATTACAATTTCATTGCAAATATTTACAATGTACAATGTACAAAAGACGTCCTCTCTCATTTAATTGCTCTGCTTGTAAAGGTATAACTACTCTTCAGTGTTCGATCAAAATGACACGTCATCCACAATTCAGATAAATGTCATTGTCAAGGATTGCATAAATGTGAAGGTAATCAAAACTACTATCAATGTTTCAATAAACTTACATTTACATTTTACATTTTAGTCATTTAGCAGACGCTCTTATTCAGAGCGACTTACAGGAGCAATTAGGGTTAAGTGCCTTGCTCAAGGGCACATCGACAGATTTTTCACCTAGTCGGCTCGGGGATTAGAACCAGCAACCTTTCGCCGTAATCATATCTCAGTCCGTACATAGCTCAGTTTTGTCCCATCAGGCTCTGCTTATCAGTATTGTACAGTTTGTTAATAAAATCCAGTGAGGGGAAATTAAGTGCATACATTAAATATCCTTTTCAAATCAACTCTGTCTAATTTATCTTGCTACATGAAAGTTTCTGTCCTTCATGTTATAGTCATGTGTGACAGTGAACTACCAAGGACCTACTGTAATTGGCATTTTAAAATGTTTTTGTTATATGCTTGGACCCAGATGCATTTTGAAAGCCAGATGACTATTATCCTGGGTGCAACCATGTTTGACTCAGCAAGCAGAGTTAGCTGACCATAACCCATCCAGTCTACTTCAACATGAGCTGATGCCTCTGTGGCCAAAGCTAAGGTGTCACTGGGGGTCTCTCTCTATCTGCCATAAGTTAGAGGTGAGACAGACAGCTTTCTGGACTCTCAATGTGTGGCTGGGATCCCCCTTCCCATCTCAGGTACCACTGGCAACTCATTATAAACATTATTGTCCTGAATGACATGGAGTAACCAAAACAGTCCATCCACATATAAAACAATGTAATGATATGATTCAGATGAATAGTGGAAACAGGGTTCTGTTTTAACACCAGAAATCTGTTTTTCTGAGTCAAGGGTTCAGTCCTTTCCTGTTGGCAGGTAACATAGAATGACAACAGGTAAGATGGAATGACAAAACAGAACCTTCTATATTGTCCAATATATATAGGCACCATATATATATTGGCTCTCCTGTAGCTCAGTTGGTAGAGCATGGCACTTGCAACGCAAGGGTTGTGGGTTCGTTACCCACGGGGGGCCAGTATGAAAATGTATGCACTCGCTAATTGTAAGTCGCTCTGGATAAGAGCGTCTGCTATATGACTAAAAAAAATGTTTTACTAAGAGTCTTATTATCAGCAGATGGAAGTTCATTTAGGCCAAATTTTAGAACTACAATAACGTTCACATTATATTCATTTGAAGTTATAATATATCTTAAAATGTAGAAGAAAGAACCCAGGGGACTACCTGCTATTTCTGTGTTGCAATTTAGAAAGATACAGCAATGTTTGAAGGACCCAAGGCAAGCAGCACCCTCTTGTGGCACTGGAAGGCAACAGTAAAAATCCATAAACACTGTAAAATGCCACTGTAATCAAGTAATGTGCAGGATCTTTATTAATGCAGATACACATTTGATACATACTGTAGCTAGGTCATGTGTTTACCAAACATATATCAGTCTCAAAAAGCTGATAATTAAACACTTTCTCCTACTAGTACTTTATCCTGTCTGTGATCAGACTCAGTGGAGAGTGTCTAATCTGTGAGGTCACAGATATGACCACTAAATTTAGCCTCTCTTAGCACCATCTGTCAGTCCCACTGCCAGGGAGGAAGGACTCCAGTCCCAGTGTTAATTGGTTGACTGTTATCACCATGCAATGGGCATAGCCTACAGTAGATGGGACAATGGTTAAAAATTGCCCTCTAAAGATCCCGGATATAGATGTGTGAGTTTGATTTGTTTGAGAAAGCTTTCTGTACGCTAATGCCAAAGTTGATAGACTCTGTCAAATAAAAATGACACCCTTACACACACACACACACACACACACACACACACACACACACACACACACACACACACACACAGCACACCTGTGTCAATCCTCACTCCTCACTTTATTTGCAAGATACAATGATCCTCCCACAAAGCCTGAAGCTGATTGGCTGCTGCATCTCTACAGTATGTGAGAGTGCTGCTGCTGTTGGTGGTGGCGATGGAGCCTATGGAGGCGGGGTTGGCGAATCTCAGGCTGCTCTGCCTTTCTGCCAACAGCCCAGGCCAGGTGGAGGAGTAGGAAGGTGACCGCCTACCTCAGGCTCAGCAGCAACAGCTGCAGCAGGAGGAAGGCCCTGAGCATCTCCCACCCAGTGTAGCTCAGGAAGAGAAGCCTGAACTCCAGAGAGGACCACAGCAGGAGGGAGTTGAGCAGGACAGCCAGGGCCTCAAAGCCCCCGAAGACCCGCTGCCACAAAACGTTAACCCCTGGGGGATGTTCTGGGGAAGGGGCGGCGCGCTCCTGAACACAGGTGCCACAAGTCCATGCAGGATGTAGCTATGATGGTCAACAGGCACCAGAGGGCACACTGGGGGTAGATGCCTGAGAAGAACATGACGTGGCAGTAGGAGATGAGGAGCTCCAGGTAGCTCCAGGTCTGGGTGTCACACGGTGGTCTGTTGCTCTGTTCTGTGATTTGTCTAAGGATGGGAGACTGATGTTCCTGGTGGGCGCGGGCAGGGGGCGTCCTCATCCTCCTCAGGCGGGGCAACAGCGTGGCGGAGAGCAGCTTGAGGCCCAGGTGGGTAGCCAGCTGCACAGACAGGTGGAAGCGCACCATGGATGAGGTCATTCAGGACCAGAGCCCTGTAGAAGTGGACGGAAAAGTGGTTGAAGAGGCAGGAGAGGATAACCTCAGGGATCAGGGGCTGTTGCCATGGTGACTGTTGCCCTGGCGGCTCAGGATCAGGGCTGAGGCCTTGGGACAGTTGGAATGCAACACAGTCCATCCCTGCCATGGCAACCGTGAGGGCGATTTCAGGGAGGTAGACAAGGATGTGGTGAAAGATGAAACTGAGCTCTTCTCTCAGGAGGATGTCCCCCACTAGTCCATCTAGGTGTAAATACATCAGGATCAGGATGGAGGAGAGGCAGAGGGTGCAGGTTAGGAAGGTAAAGGAGTGTTGCAGTCTCCTCCAACTCATCTTTCCAAAAGGGTGGGCATCGATCTGGGGCTGTGGTGGTGCTGTGCCCTGTGGCACCCTGGGCACCGCTGCTGCTGTTGATGAGTGACTGTGTGACTGATGAGTGACCACAGTCCCCCAGTCCCTCTCCAGGGCTTTGCTCCTCTTCCCCCAGCCCTGCAGGAACAGCTCTGACCACACCACACTGGAGAGGGTGAAAAAGACCAGGTTGTTCCCCAGCCTGAGGGGGTAGAAATAGAGAAACATGGACATGGTGGATTTCAGGAGGAGAGCACTGACCATCGAACTCTCAAACCCAAAGTAGAGGGCCACCGCCTCCCCGAAATAAGCCCTGATATCCTCCAGTAGCTGCCGATGCTCTCTCTGGCTGAAGGGTTTGAGACCACACCAGCCAACCCTCCACCTCCCCTGGAGGCTCTGAAGCAGTGGGGCTTCATGTAGGGGGTAGGTGTTAGTTAGGACTCCGAAGCGGGACATACTGGCCATCACTGGTTCTCCTGGGAGGAGGGGAATCCTCTGGAACACCTGGATTTCCTCCCACTCCCCCACTCTCAGCCTGGCCAGGATCCTCTGCACCAGGGTCACACACTCAGCCGATGACAGCATCCCATAGACCCCCTCCGTGGGGCGTGTCCCCCCCAGGTCCCCCACCTCCCGCGCCTGACCTCCTATAGGGCAGCAGGGCTTGTGTCTGAACAGAAGGTCCTCGTCAGCCTCCAGGAGCAGACGCTCTGGGGTGGCCCCCAACCACCATGATGGCACCCCCAGCCCTGGTCCGGCTGATCACTCTGGCCAGCAGGTCTAGTCCCCCCAGGGGCTCGGGTGTAAGGATCTTCCCCAGGAGCCAGTCCACAGTGTCAGCCTCCACCTCAGGGTGGAACTCCAGCAGAACCAGAGGGGTGATCTCATTGAGGCGCTGCACGGGAAGCATGAAGGCTGCCATGGTGACGTTGGTGAGTTCTTTCCTCCATGTGTTCCCTCCTCCTAAAAACATGCCGTCCCGGAGGGCGTTCATGGCTCCTTCTTCCTGGTGTTGACAGGGGGTTCTGCGTAGTGTTCGCCAGCCCCCTGCTTCCCCTCTTCTCTTCACAAGGTACAGGGACAGGGCTTTGATGGAAAATATTGTCTCAGCACACAGTGCCACAGGGATGTATGATGAGACTAGCTGTAGCTGTGAGAATGTCTGACAGTGGGGAAGCACAGTGCGGTTGCATTGTGACATCAGCATAATGTCATAGAAGAATGGTTGTCACTAGTAAGCACAGCCACACAGTCAGAATTGGCTATATGATACAAATTCATGAAAACAAAAACTTGCTTTTTGGTCTTAATTTAAGGTTAGGGTTAGGCATAAGGTTAGCAGTGTGGTTAGGGTTAAGGTTAGGTTTAAAAACTGATTTTAAGAAGATAAATTGTAGAAGTAGGTGGGGTTTAGTCATAACCATGACTTTGAGGCTGTGGTAACTAGTGACAACCTAGAAGAATGTTTTCTCATACACTGAGCTAGAATGAAATTATCATTCATCTAATTTTGGGCACTGAGGTGATGGCTTTGAGACTGCTGGAAAATATTTTGCATAGCTTTTTATGAAACATAGGATTTGTAAAAGTATTTTTACAAGTCTACACCCTCCTTGGATTTCTTCCAATTTGATTGTGTTACAAAGTGGGATTAAAATGGATTTGAATTGTAATTTTTTTGTCAACAATCTACACAAAATACTCTGTTATGTCAAAGTGGAAGAAAACTATGTTTTATTGACCCTCTGAGTCAATACATGTTAGAAACACCTTTGGCAGTGATTACTTGGGTAAGTCTCATAAGACCTTTGCACACCTGTATTGTGCAATATTGGCCCATTTTTCTTTTCAAAATTCTTCAAGCTCTGTCAAGGTGTAGGGGATCATGGCTAGACAGCAATTTAAGTCTCGTCTTAGATTTTCCAAGCAGATTTAAGTCAAAATTGTAACTTGGCCGCTCAGGAACATTGACTGTCTTCTTAGTAAGCAACTCCAGTGTAGATTTGGCTTTGTGTTGTAGGTTATTGTCCTGCTGAAAGGTGAATTGCTGTCCCAGTGTCTGGTGTAAAGCAGACTGAAGCAGGTTTTCTTCTAGGATTTTGGCTGTGATTAGCTTCATCCCGTTTCTTTTCATCCTGAAAAACACCCCAGTTTTTGCCAATGTCAAGCATACCCATACCATGATGCAGCCACCAGTGATGTGTTGTGTTGGATTTGCCCCAAACATAAGGCTTTGCAGTTAGGCCAAAAAGTGTATTCCTTTGCCATGTATTTTCTTTTCAGTATTACTTTAGTGCCTTGTTGCACAAAAAAAAAAAGTTGTATTTGTATTCTTATCACTCTGTCATGTATGTCATTATTGTGGAGTCACTACAATGTTGCTGAACCATCCTCAGTTTTCTCGCATCACAGCCAATGAACTGTGTAGCCCAATGGCCTCATGGTGACATCCCTAAGCAGTTTCCTTCCTGTCCTGCAGCTCAGTTCAGTTCAGAAGGACGACTGCATCTTTGATGTGTCTGGGTGGTTTAATACATCATCCACAGCATCATTATTAACTTGACCATGCTTAAAGATATATGCTATGTCTGATGTGTTATTGTTTCCCATCTACCAATCACTGCCCTTCTTTAAGAGGCTTTCGAAAAGCTCCTTGGTCTTTGTAGTTGAATCTGTGCTTGAAATTCAATACTTGCCTGAGGGACCTTACAGATGTTAAATGTATGGGGGACAGAGAAAGGGGTAGTCATTCAAAAATCATGTCAACCCCTATTATTTCACACAGTGAGTCCATATAACTTATGTGATTTGTTAAGCAACATTTTTACTTCTGAACTAATTTTGGCTTGCCTAAACAAAGGGGGTGAATACTTATGCAACGACTATATTTTAGTTACACAATTTTTATTACATTGTAAAAATGTGTAGAATTTTCTTTTCACTTTGACACTATGGAGTATTTTGTGTCGATCAATGACAAAAAAGTACATTTAAATCTGTTTCAATCACACTTTGTAACACAACAAAATGTGAAAAAGGTTCAAGGGGGATTAGACTTTCTATAGGCACTGTAGCTTTCATACTCTCATGATCAAAGCATACAAAATCATTAATTTACTTACATGAAAATGAGTGTTCAATTCCTCTTTAGAAATCAAAAATAGTTTATCCAATTAACTGTAATAAGTAGGCCTAATGAATAGGACAGCAATGAGGCTCTGTGGGTGGATTCAGACATGTGATACCATCTTTTACCAGAAGATGGTAATATCACCCTTACAAATAGGGGAAAGCATTTCCTATACTGTACAGTAGTTCCACAAAGTCACTACAAGGGTAATATGAGGTACTTAGAGGTAGAACACTGCTACTTGTGATGTGCACCAGTTAACACCAAGTAAAACGATTATGAACAGCTCAACAACACCACCTGCTAAACTGATTAGTTTTTCTATTTCTGAAATACCATTGAAATATGAGTCCCTCTCTGACTCATAGGCTTGTATACAAAGCCTGCAGTGTAGTGTTTATTATGCAATTGATACAGTTGAGACTAACAAAAGCTATTGGAGGGAAGCCAAGCCTCTCAGTGTTCCAGCATTTCTTGGAAACCCATCGGCTGACTTTCGTAATTTCTTCTGGGAAAATGAATATTCATGCCTCCAGCCAGAAAACAGCAGAGAAAACAGGGAGTGGGGAAGGAAGAGGGTGAGAGAGAGGAGGGTAAGATGCTGTTACGTTCCCCAGTTTCTGTGTTGTAGGTTGTGTATTTTCAAGTATGTATTTCAGGAAATGGGTTCCTGAAATTCCCCAACAAGCAGCTCGTCAGGACGCAGCTGTCTCCAATTACCAACTCCTTCTGAAGCTATATAAGCCCCAGTTCTGTTGCTCAGAAGAGGGAAGGGGAACCAGAATTGCTGAGAGTTGTAGCATGTTGGTTGTTGCTAAGACATTTGGTATGTACTGTGTAGTTGTTGCTGTGAGAGCTGATTGTAATGTTTTGTGTTAGTTTGTGGCTCAGAGTTTCTTTAATGTCCTGAGTTAGTTTTTTTCTCAGGTTTTTGTTGTGAACCAGTTTGTGCTATTTTTGTTTCATTTGTTCCCAAGGGGGGAAGGGGAAGGCACCTAGGGAGTGCTTAGGCAAGAGGCCCGCGGGCATACATTACCCGTAGAAGTTGACTGTCTATGCACACTAGGAAAGACCTGGGCGGACCATCCCTTGTATTTTGGTTAGTGCACCAGGTGGTGCTAGTTAAGTAAGTAGTGGGTAGGCAGGTAAGGTAGGAGAGGGGGCTTTGATATTTACTTTCTTTGCTTTGGTTCCGTCCAGCCCCTTTTCCCCAAACTTGCTGTGCGAAGGAATAAATTCCCTGTTAATGGTATTCTCTGCCTTTTGTCATCCTTACTCACACCTACAGTCCCATACCTCTTTCACACCACGGAGAGTTGAGTTGTAGCAGGGTGTTGCGTTCCCTCTTCCGAGAGGCGTGCGTAACAGATGCAGAAGTGAAAGAGAGAGACAGTCCATTAATTCCAGTCTCATTCTCCCAGTGTTCGTCAATAAGAGGAGCAGTCTGTGTGGGCTCAGGCACTCCTTCAAATGCCCTGAGATGAGATGGGGCCCAACAAACTGCCAGCAGAGACAAGCCCAGAGGATGACTCACCCACCTCACCCTCCCTCTCTCCCATCATCATCCATCAGGAAGCTCTCAGGTGGCTCTGCCCGTCTGCCAGATAGATGTGTATAAGTTTTCTTCCACAGGACAGATATGCATCGTTGAATACTTCATGACCACTAAAAGCCTGTTTTCTTCAATCTAATGTAACTGACATCTATGGAGGTCCTTTGAGGTGGATGAAAAGAAGAATGGGTGAGGAGGGAATAAATCACTTTTTGCAAAGATAATGAATGAGTCCAAGGTTTATGATTGGGAAACATTTTTTGTGCATTTGCCATCTCAAAGAAGAAAATATTCTGTAAAACCTGAAATGTAAATTCATGGAAGCACAAATATTTGTCCCCAATGGTGATTTTCAATCACCTTACTTCCAGGAGTGCAGACCATTTTGGTTCTAGACACCACTATAAGTTATATTTCACCTCTGTGGACAGGAGATTCTGACTTGCCTGTACTGCCATCTGAATAAATGAATTGAAATGAATAAACCAACATTGGAAGAGGGTCCATGGTGTAATAACAACCAACAGTCCTCAAATGGCCCAACTATGGTATGCCATTGTGCTCACTATACCCTGCCCTCTCCCTTTCTCCTTCTGTCCTCCCCAGTTCCAAAACAAAAACACAGTTGTCTAATTCAATAAGACAACATTACAAGGGCCAACAACAAAGACAAGGTTGTCACAATTAGATGATGAATAGTTGGACTCCAGCCTCGCGAGCCACCTGATCCCACAAGCTTGCATGAGGGTCGTTCCACCTCAAAAGGCTGAAGAAAGATGATTTCCACACCCACCATCTCAGATTGTTCTGAAATCGATTGTTGTTAGAAACATAAGATTAGCATTCCTGCAAAAATTATTTTGTTGAAATATAATTTAATCTCTGAAACATTAACCTCATTGATTGCACCCAAATTTGCCATTTTTATTTATAGGATTCATATAATATTGAATAAATATAGTACCTAACATCTGATTTGTACCAAACTTTTTTCTAACAATGAGTTAGACATTTGGAATCAAAGAAATGGTCAAAAGCCACCCACGGACCCCCCACGCCAATCATTTTTACATTTTTAGTCATTTAGCAGACACTCTTATCCAGAGCGACTTACAGGAGCAATCAGGGTTAAGTGCCTTGCTCAAGGGCACATTGACAGATTTTTCACCTAGTCAGCTCGGGGATTAGAACCAGCGACCTTTCGGTTACTGGCACAACGCTCTTAACCACTAAGCTACCTGTCGCCCAATCCCACACCAACAATGAGTATAAATATATAAACTTAACATGGAACAATTTCAAAGATTTTACTGAGTTACAGTTCATATAAGGAAATCATTCAGTTGAAATAAATTCATTAGGCCCTAATCTATGGATTTCACATGACTGGGAATACAGATATGCATCTGTTGGTCACAGATGCCTTTAAAAAAAAAGTAGGGGAGTGGATCAGAAAACCAGT